GCCAGCATCGCCCAATGCCTCGATCATCGCATGCCACGCAACACCGTCAGGTCAAGCACGCCGTAGAACATTCGAAGGGTTTCCCGGCGACTGTCTGCTGAGCCAGCAAACGCTGGAACCATGTGATGGCGGTGTCGAGGTCCCCAGAGCGAATAAACCCAGAAATGATCGCAGTGTATGTCGAAGGCGCTGGATGAGGCGTGTCCACTTGCGCGAATTCCGGTGCTGCAGTGGAGGACATCATCCGTTCGAGGAGCTCAACGGCCTTGTCAGGCCGACCAGCAACAAAGTACGTGGAGACCATTTCGTTGTAGACCTGTAGGTATTGGCGCCGTGACTGGTCTATGTCGATAGCCGGGGCCTTCCAGAGCAACTTTCCGGACGAAGCACGGTCCAAGAAATCCTTGAAGATGATTTCTGCCAAAGTTATTCAGTGCTCCCGCGATGACCAATTGGAGTCAAGACGCACCAGCATTGTCGACGCTTGTGGGCGTCGCATAGACTCTGATCATATGTCGGAAGACCGCCGCAGACGGGGTGAGTTGAGTTCGTTCCAGAGCACTCAAGACATGAACGGCCGCATCCTGACGCCCGTGGTTTGCGCAAAGCCGCAACAGAGCAACGAAGACATGCATCCGAAGCGACTTCAAGTATTCAGGCGTGTTGATCGTCTCAAACAGCTTCATCGCAGAGTCAAACGTGTTTTCGGCCTGCAGGCGCTCAATCTTCTGCGCGTTGGACTTGGAGACTGGCCCGCGTGAACGTATCGTGGTAATGGCCGTATGGATCTCGTTGTCGCGGTCCCCGATGGCCAGTATGAGCTCGACGTAAGTCTGCAGATTGGGCAGGACACCTTTCTTGAGCATTGAACCGTACGTCTGCAGTAGCAGAGTCAACGACTGATCTTTCTGCCGTGCCTCCCGCAGCGCTTCGATCGCTATGTTGAAGTCCCGGACGGAAAGAGAAGCAGACGTGTCAACAAGGTGTTCTCTAATAGCTTGCGCAACACCATTCACATTGCCTGCCATCTGCGCACGACGGATGGCATGCACGGCTGCTGATTCCGGCGGAGGACGGGGAGGCTCCACTGTTTGCGGAGCAGCGGGGTCTGCAGAATCTAGAGCGGTGGCGGAGAGCGGAGGGAGAGGCGCTGTTGCCGAGGAATGCAGTGGAGGAAGAGCTGCAGCCTCTTCGGCGGCAACCAGACGGGGAGACGGAGGCGAACTCGATGTCGAGTTCCTACGAACCAGAGCCGGCGCAGGGGGTGCGACTGCCGCGTCCTGTTCGTCTGGGGAAAGCGCCGCTGTGAAAGCGTGCCTTGACCGCGCATGCAACTGCACAGTCTTGAGGATGCCTGCCGGCGGCGCGTTCGGGGAGGGAGAAGACGAGGACGAGAGGCTGTAGCTACGCGGGCGTTTGCGCGAGGAAGTGTTCAACGAGACACGGTGGGATATGACCAAATCCTGTTCTTCCTCGTCGGTCGGCGCGACGCTTGTGTCCTGCGACGACATGGCGTTAGCCTGCGTCACCGCGCGACCAGCGCCGCCGTAGCCCGACTGGAAACGACTGCCGGTGTACTTTTGACCTCCCGGCCCAGGCCCATTGCTCGACCCCCCACTCGAGCTGGGTCCCGCGCGGGCACCCGCGGGTGACGAGCTGGATGAGGAATGGAGGACATTGCGGAGTGTATGATGGGATTGGTTCTGGGCCGCGACAGCTGCCCGAGAAGTGCTGTGGAGGAGCTGGGTTGCGACCTTGGGTAGCATTGGAAGGTGCTAGCCCCGGCCGAGTTCTGTGCGGAGTCAAAACCAAACAACTCAGACAGATATCCTGACGGCCCTTGGACACGAATCACTTCGGCAGACGGCAGCGAAAAAAAGACGTCCCGAGATTGTCCGAGTCACGCTCTGTACACGTGCCGTCCATGATGTAAGTCACATGGGGCGCGATTGATGTGATCTTCATACAAACTGCCCCGACCTTTCAACGACAACGCGATGCCCTCGTCCTTTTGAACCCTTGAACACCCGTTACACGGTTACAACTCGGTGGATAATCAGCGCACTGGTTTGGTGCCTACCCATCGACGCGGCTGATGGGTCAGTCATCGAGGACTAGAGAGCTACAAGCAAAGCTTCAATTCCAACCCCCACCGCTTGATGTGGTGATTTCAGAGGAGACTGTTCTCAATCTCGCAAAGTACACCCTCCATCTGAACGTTTGCGAGGTGGGGATACCAGGACCTGGTGGCGGGCAACACAATTTCGTAAAGTGTGACCAGGATATGGGATGCTGGTGGCTCTTCTTCTGGGTGCGTGTCATTCCTTTCTGTGCCGGTCAACTCTCCCCACTCACTGCATGCTTTACATCCGTGCAGCATCAGATCAAAAGACACACCATCGTCAAAGGCAAATCGTTCTTCCAGTGTGATCTCACGAAATGCAGTGCCCGGGTCCACCAGAGCGAAGCGGCGCTGCACAGGCATGTCGAGTCCTCGCACATGAAGGGAGTCTACTTCCCTTGTCCCTTTGCCGACTGCCGGTCATCTTCTTCTGTCTCTGGTCGTACTGCAAAGCCACACCTGTACGATCGGGAACGAGACCTCATTCATCACATTAGGACAAAGCATGAAGCCATGATAGGGATGACGCTCTCCTACATGTCGCCTCTTCTACTACCGAGTATGCGTCCTCGGCCCATGTCCCTTGATCCACCGCCCGCACTCCCATTAGACAGAATACCAGTCACTCGTCTACGGGTCGAGCTGTCGCCGCAAATCCACGTCCGGCCAGCGGATGGCAGCAACGCGCACCAAATCTGCGCCCACACATGCCAATGCAAGAACAGTCCGAGGCGTCGTACTTCACTTTATTGCCACCGCAGGGCGCCACTGCCGGTCACATCAAGGCAGCCCGCCGAACGAAATTATCCAAGGCCTCGTCCTTCTCCGAGCTCTCGCAGACACAGGATCTGACTCGGGCGAAAGACGAGAACGAGTGTGAATACGACTTAGCTATGTTGGACGAAATTTCATGGGACGAGACAAGTAGGATTCTCATCCCGGAGCAGGCGACGAAACCTCCATTCTTCGATGTACATCCACGAGATAAAGAGTTCGAGCGCGCAGTGACAGTCTCTGGACCGGTATTTCTACCAGAAACGCAGCTCCCTGAGCACACGCCCAAAATCAGCATTTTCTACAATGTGTTGGCTACTCGATACTACAAGCAGCTGGCTGATGGAGAGGAGCCTGCTGCATAATTCTTGCAACGTGTGTATTGATAGTCGCCGCACCTTACAGTGCAATTATCTGACATGACCACCCAGAAGCTACGTGAGTTATTATCTCTGAATCAGGGGAGCCTCGAATTTGAATCGATGGCTCGGGTTCCAGGTGCTCGAATTGACCTCTTGATCAGCGACACCCTCAGCGGATGGCGCAGCTCCCAGCGGATTGGACGCCAAGCCACCCTGGCAGCCAGCCCACCCCATTGGCATCGAAGACCCAGGCTGGCCTTCTTGCGGCATCAATGCCAAAATTATTGGGACCCATGACTGATTGGGACGAGCCGCTCATGACCAATGTTCAAGTTGGTGTGCTGATGAAAGACGTGCTAGGCCTTTGGCAAGCGAGGCGCGTCGACTGGGTGTGACAAGAACTTAATGATCTCAGATCCCCAGCGCCGGCAGACCGAAGTGAAAGCTCACTGGAATACTCGACGAATCCATGCATCATGATCAGATCCAGTATCTTTCGCACCCCAACAATACTACTTGTCAACTCATACAGTGCTTTCAAATGGAAGCAAGGTTGGCCATAGACAAGTGTGAGATGTATTACTCATCTCCCATCAACAACTATTCAGCAACGCGCCCGCTCGTCTCGCTCGGCCGGACGGGACGAGTATATTTGCACTTCGAAGCGTCGATGCATACATGTGATTGACTCCTCCCCGGCCAGTGCGCGGGAAAATCGATGGACGAGGCCATGCGTGTCAAGGCCCGTACTTCGGAGGTCGATCTGTAAAGCACTCATCAGCGAGTGCCCCCCAGAGTCCTCGTCGTCCTCGTCGTCCTCGTCTTCGGTACTGATGTCCTCGTCGTCATCGGAATCTTCAGAACGACGAGACTCCCACCGCGGAGGCACACTAATCACCGGCGAACTCGGCATCGAGGTGTAACCAGAACTCCCGTTGCGACTGATCCATGCGTCCCTCTCTCGATCGGACTCATCCAATTCAGATCCACAAATGACCATATGTCGTTCTTCTGGCGGAAACAATGCAGACAAAACACGCGTGCTCGTCGTTAGCGATGAGCCGTCTGGTGTTCGGGTAAAGCTGTAGAACGAAATGTCATGGGCCTTTGTGCGAGGCGCGTGACCGTCTTGGATGGAGCTCGACCGGTTCGGAGCAGATTTTTTAGGAAAAGGTTCCGTGACGACGGTGCCCGAGAGCCAAGATGTCGATGAGGAAGCAGTAGACTCGAACTCCAGTGCCGGCGGCAGGCCATCCAAACGTGATGGCATCTCGCGAGGAGGAGACCTGGAGACTTGTGGTTCTTCTTCGATGTCCTTCTTATCCCTATTGGGAGAAGGCGAGCTTGAGTGCGAAAAGTAGCCATCATCCACCTCCTCCATCAAAGGTGTCCCGCGTCCTCTTGGTGTGGGGTTTCCGGGTGATTTGGCGGCCCCAGGGAGTGGGATCAGGTCTGGAAACGCGACTAGCTTGACCACTTTGAGCGCCCACTGCGCAACCATGTCATCCGTGTCGACGAGACCCACACACGCTAAATCGGGGGCGAGGATCCGGATTGCCGGTATGGTTGCCATTTTGGGAGGTTGCGACGACGACGACGCTGCTGCGGCAATAGACGGGTCGGGCGTCGATTGGGCTCGGGCAGAACCCCTTTTGGAAGCTTTGGACCTCGATTTGGACTTAGAAGAGCTTGACTTGGAGCTAGAACGTGATGCGCTCGTAGGGGGGACCGGGGCGGAGCCGCTGCGTTCTCTCAGCACCGGACCAGGAGGGACAGAGATCAGAGCTGTTAGCAGGTCCGGATGCGATGCATATAGACTGAAACCGGCGGCGGCGAAGAGCGACATAGCTTCCGCGAGCCTACGCTCCTTGACCTGATGATGGGGGGATGAGGGATCTAGACAGAGTTCTCGGTTCATCTAGAGAGCAGACGCACGAAGATGTAATCACTCGTATACGACGAGAGGTAAAGAATAGAGATTCCGGCGGCGGCCAGAGGTGCCGAGAGTTCGCTTACACGCGCTCCGGCATTATCTACGCGGCGCGATGAGCAAAGTTGAGCCGCTTGCCCGAGGGCAGAACACACCTAGCTGGTCACTGTGCGAATCAATCTGCAGCACACACCATCTCTCGTGAGAAACCTCCATTCCATCCCGGTAACCGTTCCCAGACTTGACGAATGCATCAAATGCATCGACCGCCTGAGGTTCCGCGAATATTGACAATTCGATCTCATTGCAAGTTACGCTCAAGAAGGACGGATTGGGGAGGAGAAGAGTGCGGAGGACGGGATGTGTGAATCGGTCGAGATGGGAGCGCGGAATCGAGACGACGCTGAGGACCGTTGGGAGGCGGGTGATCGTGACTTGCATTAGCGGAGAGGCAGGAAGGAATCGTGGCCGAGGGCCTTGAGATCCAGGACGACCACCAAGAGGAGGATTAGACCACAGGAGCAGGAGGAAGGTGCCGGTGAAGATATAGAATGCCAAGGTCCAAGCACGCAATGACCCCTGACCTAATTTTCGTTGATCGCATACATGTCCGCTCTATAAACGGCGAGCTCTTACGGCAATGACTCTGTCCAGATTCGATTTCTCATCTGACTTCCACACTTTGTTACTTCGATCGGAACAGTTGTCCGCATGGGGGCTGGCCTCTGCTCTCATGAACACCTGGCCCCAATAGCCACAGGGCACCATGCGAACTATGCCGCAACGATCTTGACCCACGAAGCTTCTTACCCGATTTCACAGCGACCCTCGGTGTACAACTCACAACAGACGCACAGAATAGACACCACTCCTTGTGCTCTCTCGGTTGTCTGGAACGGCTCTCCGGGATCATTTCTACCTGCAATAGAACCATCATTCTCTATTTCATCGATAGCGGGCTTGAATCAGATCTGCTGCGCCCCCAGCGCTCACTTCCCAGCTGTGGGCCACGGACGTGAGATGTTTCTTCAGCCGCCTATCAACCATTTCCTGCGCATCCGAGCTGGGCTAAACTATCCCGCAAAGTTCGAGTCATTTATGGCACGACAGTCTGGTATACAACAGTCCAATGGATGCATTATTTAATTCACTGGCATGAGCCCACTCACCTCCTCCCCGATCCACGAGGACCTATGTAGCCGGTCTCAACGCCCGCAGCCGTTCAGCAAGCTTTGCGTCTTCCTCCCCGATCGTATCCTTCGCCACCAAATCCTGGACAGGTGCCAAATCTCTGGCTGCGAGATCGTGCTGCAGTTCAATGTCCGCCTCTTCTGCGGTCTGTCGCATCAGCTGATCGATTTGGTCCTGCGGTGTCGAGACCGCTGTTGTCGATCCCATTGCGTCTTCCATGTATGACGTCTGAACATCAAGGTCGGCAAATTGAGACTCGAATTTGTCCATGACCATCGATATCTGTGGGTTCGAGCGTTGAGCATTGAGCAGGAGTAGAACATAACATGCAGAGCAATAGGAAATGAAAGACGCACCCGTTCCAGATTCATGCTTTCCATAGCTTTATCCATCCCGCGCACGACCGAGGTCATGTTCCCAGTGACCTGCCGCATGGTCACCGCAGTTTCTACCCGACTGGCGACGGCATCTATCCGACTGGACAGTCGCAGAAGGTTGAGCGATTCACTTTTCTTCCGTATAGCATTCGAGGCATAGATGCGGGCGCCCTCATTGTTGCCCTGTTGTAGAGCCTACAATCACCGGGACACTGGTCAACGTACAAGCTTAAGGGTTGGAGTAGACACACACCTTCTTTAGCCTGGATTTTTCCGTGTTTTCGTCTTTCTGAGCCTTCTTCGCCTGCCTGTTGAGGGTTTTGGCTGTGAACTACAATTCCCAGATTAATGACGGCATTGATAGTTGTGGTGCGAGAAACCTTCAGTTGGAACAGTGTCTCTAGGTGGCCATATGAGACTTGATTCGATCCTTTCATAAAAGTTACGCACTCTCAAGGTTGCTCATGACGATGAACTGCGGCGAGTGAGGGGATGAGTGAGAGTGCCAGATTGAGATGGATCAATCGTGATGGCGGGGACATCCGATCATTGCACGCTCTCTTCTTCGGTTCCGCCTCTTTCGTATGCTCCATGGGCTTGCTCTATTATCTTAGGTGCAGTACGCGCAAGAGACTCCTTCCGATCTCTAATTTGGCGCATAGTTATGCTGGGATCGCTGTCGCCTTCGCATTTGTCACACTTTCTCTAGGTACGCTGACAGCACTTTGGAAGCGGCGATGTGCTCAAAAGTTACAGCCAGCGGACTCTTGTACATCTCTGAGCTAATCGGTGCGTTCGCCATAAAATCTTAGGACAACTGTCCACACCTGTGACAGAGGAACACACCCGCCTCGCCAAAACAATTGGACAACGCGCTATATATGTCAGTCACACGCGCGTCCCTTGCAGCCCGTTCTCGCACTCACGAATCTTCTAGGCAATCATAGCCCTTCACGTCGTGCTCTACTTCTCCGACTCCCTTCCTCTTCAGCACACTCTCTTTTCGGCTCTCTGCCACGTCGTATACTTGCGCAACTTCTCGGCGACATGGCCGGTCATCTCGCTCTCCTCCCTGACGTTCATCGCTTCCTGCGTGCTTGTCATTGCCGATCACTTTATTTGGTTCTTCCACTTCTCCCATCTCACTCAGGCGGCTCGTCATGTCAGTCGCCAGCGTGGTCCCAAAGGTTTCCGGGCTGGCCCGCCCACGGCAAGAGTGCCCTCCTTCAGTGAAATCGCCACATTCTTCGCCGTATGTGTATGGGCCGCGCCGCTCTTCCTGTTTCTCAGTTTGAGTGCGAATGACAACGCGCTTCCGGTGTCAGGCACGGGTGTGTCTCCCGTTCGTCTCTTTCCTTTGACTTGGCCCTCATCTTAATGCAGAAGGCACACCCGGACTATCATACCCCACTGAGATCAAAACTAAGCCTCGCGTTTCGCTATTCCGTTCGCTGCTATTCTTCCGCTCGCGGAACCGCAACGAGCAGGGCATCATTGCCCCGCCGTCTCCCGGTATCGTGCCCCAACACTCGCCGATGTTGGCGCCTCTAGCGTCGCCGAGATTCAGTACGCTTACTCCGCCTCGCTCGCCACGCTACAAGCCGGCCGAATTGGAAGCTGAGCTGCAAGCAAGCAATTTCAAACTGAACACACCTCCCCTTCGCAGCGATGGATTGGGCCAAAGGAGGAGGAGCGTCCTGTCGGATGATGGACTGTTTAACTCTTAGTGGAACATACGGAAGTATATATTCGTCTGCTTGGTCTGTCGATTTTGGAATACGAAAATCTCCCCATGACATTTGCAGGGATGGCTTTGGCAGGATTGCGTTGTGATATTTGGTGCGGCATCATCCAGTTGCTCGAAATGAAACGGCAGAACGATACATTCCACATCGCATCCCTGTGTTCATACCCACTTGACTTCAGGTGACTGCAATTGAGCTCGAGTTATCGAACTCTTCACGAACGGATTCAAACTCTCCGCGTATGTGCCCAGATCTTCAGCTTAAGAGCGAGAAGACGCGTAAAATAATTACTGGACAGCTTGTTGCCAAACAACCGCTTAGGGACGGGTACATACTGACTGACACCCAAGTCAACTCGTCGTGACGTGGGGACGCGTTATTTGTCTCTGTTAGTCGTTGGCAATGAAGCTTTCCTGACTTTCTACGCAGTCAGTGAGTCAGCTTTGTGGCCAGGTTGCGATCTTAATGTCATGGGCAACTCCCAAATTACCGTGGAATTGTGCGATCAAGGACACCCGACCTACATCATCGCTTTAGTCTCTCCTGGCCATCGGCCAACTTGCTCTGCTCCCTCAACATCCACGTCCTACTTCATCGGGGATTCCATTACGAACACCTTTCTTAGAAGAGGCCGCATGTGACGTTTCGTGGATATATATACACAGGTGGAGTCCACTGGCCTGAACTGGCGGCACTAGTACGATGGCTCCAACTTCCGACCTCCCCACCTTCGACCAGCTCGGTGCACAAATTCCTGACAATCTGGATGCTGGATCTGTCGCAGCGGAATGGTTCAAGTCGTTCTCAAAGTATGCGGCAGCTGGCAATGGTCAAGAGATAGCAGCTCTCTTCGCTGCAGACTCGTACTGGCGGGACTTATTGGCACTCACATGGGATTTCCGCACTTTCCACGGTCCCGCGTTGCGTCAGTTCCTGTCTGAGCGGCTTCCCACAGTGAAGATGTCCGCGTTCGCGCTCTCGGATGAACATCTATGCTTGAAACGACCGTTTCCGGATATGGCCTGGGTTGAGGCCATGTTCAAGTTCGAAACCGACGTAGGGTATGCATCCGGTATCCTGCGACTGATTCCTCAAGCGGATGGTGTATGGAAAGCTTATTGCATGTTCACGAATCTGGAGGCTCTCAAGGGATTCCCCGAAAAGGTGATTATGGTTTATATTGTAATGTGCTATCTGCCCTGACGTCAACGTCTTCAATAGATCGGCCCTTTGCGAAATCCTGAGCCGGAACACGGAAAGTGGGAGGAACGGCGCCAACAAGAGATTGCTTTCGAGACCACCAATCCGACAGTTCTTGTCATAGGCTCCGGACAAAGTGGATTGGGACTCGCTGCTCATCTGCAGAATCTTGATGTCTCCGTGTTGGTGGTAGAGCAGAATGAGAGAATCGGAGACAATTGGAGAAACCGATACGACGCGCTTTGTCTCCACGATCCTGTTTGTGAGGATGGCTACTTTCCATTGACCGGCCCAATGCTAACTCTGATCTAGGGTATGATCACATGCCATACTTGCCGTGCGGATCCAGAGTGCCCGTGTGTATTACTCTGACGCAAGTCACAGGTTTCCGCCGACATGGCCTGTGTACACACCAGCGAGAAAGATGGCAAATTGGTTAGAATCGTACGCTGACGCTTTAGACATCCCGGTGTGGACGTCATCTGAAGTGACCGCCGCCACTCAAGATTCTTCTCGATCGTGGAAAGTGACGGTCAGGAACCGAGTTGGGGGAGAGAGGATCTTAGATGTGCAACATCTCGTCTTTGCGACAGGGTTTGGGAGCTATCGAGGAGCATTGCCGACTTATCCGGGCATGGTCAGTCACTTGCGGACCAATAGAGGTCTGGCACTGATGTCAGATATCGCTAGGACACATTCAAAGGCCAGCTACTTCACAGCTCGCAGCACAAGCGTGCCAGCGATCATAAAGGAAAGAAGGTGGTTGTGATCGGTGCATGTACTTCAGGTACCTTGGCATTTTCCCAGCCACTCAAACATCTCATGGTCTCCCAGCGCATGACATCTGCGCTGACTACTACAAACATGACATCGGTGTGTACTCTACCTGGCCTCAACTACTCATACTCAGGAGTTTCAGATGTTACAATGTACCAACGCAGCTCGACGTACATAATGTCCACCAAGCACGGGTGGCCTATTCTGATGGGTGACCGGTACTCTGAAGATGGACCGCCCACAGAAATCGCAGATATCCAGACTGCTTCGGTCCCGATGCAGGTCGTTGAATTAATGGCTCCCAGGAGGACATTGAAAATCGCGGAGGCTGATAAGTATGGTCTGATCTTTCCATTCAACGAGGATATTTGGCGTTGATTGCTTACAGAGACTTGATCGAAGGACTGAAGAAATGTGGGTTCAGACTGAATCTTGGCTATAAGGACTGTGGGTTCTCGCTCGCGGTATGGGAACACGCTGGTGGATATTACATAGGCCAGTAAACGATGGCCGTGACGATCTCCACCTGATCACGAAAACAGACGTCGGAACAAGCCAACTGCTCATTGACGGGAAGATCAGACTCAAGAATGACAGTCTCATCGAAAGCTTCAGTGCGAGCGGACTTGTTTTTGAGAACGGGACAAGGCTAGAGGCAGACGTTGTCGTCTTTGCTACCGGGTAAGCTGTGACGATGTTGGTCTCCTGGGATCCTAATGCGGTAGTTCCAGAGTCGGCAATGTGAGAGACAATATCTGCAGAGTTTGTGGTGATCTTGTCGCCGATCGATGCAAGCCCATCTGGGGACTGGATGCTGAAGGAGAGGTGCGAGGATGCTGGAGGGATCTAGGTTCGTGCTCCCGATATTATAAGCAATTGCTATAGAGAGACATTCAAGGTATCCCGGGGCTTTGGTATATGATGGGTAACCGTTCATTGACAGCATGGAACACGACGTACTCAGTTTTTTTGCAGGGAACTTGGCCTACAGCCGCTTCTATTCGAAACATCTCGCTCTCCGTGAGTCACCCGACTGATCTAAATGACGGCGCAACGACTGACTTGACTGCTCAGAAATCAAAGCGATACAGGAGGGACTCTTCAAAGAGCGATACAGTTTGGACAGATAGATGCTGCCGGTGCTAATTCATCCGGAATCACCCAGATAAATTGAAATACATTTCTTTCTTCGCCTGTTCTCCTTGCCTATGGCGTTCTAAGGAATGGGACCATTCAAGCTTCAATTCGCCGGGAATCGACCGAAAACGAGTGCCAGTACATCATCTGAACACGAAACAGAGAATCCCTCCTTGTGGGATGACCTCACCAACAACATTGCGCGATATGTACTGAACATATTCTATCCTGAAAACAACCCGACCTGCTCGTGCACCCCCAGGAAGTCCCTCGATGGGCGGATAGACAGATTAACCGTAGAGCGTAGTATCAGAAGAAGAATAGGGCTGGATCTATAGAACGCAACTAACGACGTACATGTATCACACTAATTAGTGAGCTTATACCATCTGCTGGCCTCGGTCCATTCATTTGGATGTACATAGACTGGAGCGATACACATTATAGAGCTCAGAGCAAGCTCAGTTACCTTGGCGTTTTCCCATATCAGTTGGGATGTGTTCAAAGGTACATGGGATTCCGGAACGGAGCGGTTGACCGAATTAGCCGACCAGCCTTGTTTTGATATGTTCCGCGACCTTCATATGATTCTGTTTCCTGACCTCATATCTCAAGACGACATTGCTTAAATCGAGTTCTCTAGGGCACTACCCTCTACATTGCACGCTAATCCCAATCGAAACTCCAACCCCTCCCCCAGTTCGAGAAAAAGGGCATGACTGCAGCTACTGACCACCAGGTGTGCACACACATCAGGCTATTTCAGACGGTCTGGCGCCCGCTTTTACTTACTTCGTCCTGGGCAGGCTCAGTTTCTCACTGATCTTCGCGCCGGCGAGTCTCCACTCGCAGCAGCCCCTCATAACCCCGTACATCTTGCACGACTGCAGCAACAGTGCCCTTCGAACCCGCCACCTCCGCTCGGCCACGCACCTTCACCATCTCTCTTAGTACCCCTGATACCCGCAGACATTCTGCGTCCAAACCACTCCGAAAGCAGGATTACAGGGCCATCGATGGGTTCTCTGCCGAATGCGCTGATACCGATTCCTACTGCGCCTCCTCATATCACTCCCGTGAGCATGCTATGGCATCCTCAGAAGCACCAGCAGGCATCCCCGCCATCTGTTCCTGTAATACAGCCCAGCAGCACAGTCGTTCCTCTCAGACCCCCGTCGTCGTTGTCGACGTCGCCACAACCCATGCAGGCCCTTGAAACCCCACCTTCAACGAACTCCACTATCTCGCCACCCAGCAGTTCGAATCTCGTGAAGGGGCCGCCCACTCTGCCTCTCTCGACGTTCCTCGAAGGAGCTTGGGCTGAGCACACCAAATACCTCGAGAGCACGGTGGAAGGACTCCAGCTTCAGCTCGCGCAGACCCAGGAAGCTGACGCCCGCGCGATTGAAGAGCTCCAGGCTGAGTTGAACAGACGACGTAGCTTGTATGCCAAATGGGTCAGCTGGGCGACGAATGCGTTCAAGACGTTCAAGGAGAGCACTAGCAAAGAGGCCCAGACGTTGAAGGATGAATGTGATGCTCTGAAGGCGAACAATGACGCGCTCGTGGTTGAGAACACCATGCTGAAAAGGCAGAGCGAGGACATGAAACAGCAACACCATGCGCTCTGCCAAAGAACCCAGGATGTGGAGCGCCAGAATGCGCTTTTTCGGAACCAGCTCGCTCAGGCGGACAGAGATCGTGCATCGGCGGCGCAGGCTAACCAGATCCTGACCGCCAATAACGGGAGCTACGTCGCTCTGACACAAACTTTGCAGCGCCAATATGACACGCTCAAGGGCCGTTATATCGCTGAAACGACCCAATTAAGAGGAGAACGGGATATAGCTCGAGCTGGGTCATCCAAAGCCCAAGACGATTTGGAGACAGGGCGCGCGGGGAATGAGAATGTATGCGTCAAGGCGGAGTCGCCCGTCCCGAAATCCGAGACCGAGCTTTGGGACGCCCTGGAGCTACAGTATCCACAAACCCCGGCGTCGGATGAAGATAGTGCGCCAGTTGCAGTAACGTCGAAAATCGAGTTGGACGACGCGGAAACTCAAACATTCAGTTGGGATGTCAAGCCTGCGATCAATCCCAGGAAACGGTCCAGGCGCGAGTTTGAATGCGACTCGAGCTCTGGGACGATGGGACCGCCACCAGATCCAGAACTGTCGATGGGAGACCCGTTCCCCGTTCCCCGACAGGTCGACGTCAAATCACTCAATAGTCCGATCCGCTGGTTCATGCAAATCCGGAGGAAGAATGCTGGCTAGTGGATCGCTAGCTCCGGTGGGCTGATTCCAGCATACACCATGGGATACTGTGCTCGGCGATTGTCGACCGCTCCATGCGCCTTATCGACTTGATTAGCATCCAGATGAAACCGTCACTGTCCACAATCGTTGAGCGCACTGTCACGTCCTATGACACAAGCGGCAATACCCACGTTCTAGGATGGACTGGCTAGATCCTGGCTGGAACCCAATACCGGTCACCGACGTCGCACCGCGTCGGGTGCAAACGGGATATTCTGTCTTTGATCACGGCGCGATGCGGAGTTCGGGGCTTTATCAAACCTACTGCACACCCGTCCCGCACGTTTATTTAATCATTAGCAGTATGTATATCTGACAGTAATTCAGTATCAATGACACTAGGGCCTCTCGCTGTTTCATCCGTTGCGTGGAGCAGACGTAATAGATTGGTAGATTGGCGCTCTAAACCACCGTTCGGTGAAAGACGCGCACGTGACTATCGTATCCATACGGCAGTTGTGGTGCACTCGCACAGTCCAGCCTCTCATGGACGACGACTCGGCCTCGGCCGACGGGCATACAAGAGACCCTCCAGCCCATGAAAGCGACGAGCCCCCCAGCACTACACGCAAATCCCGCGTCCGCCGTAGCCTTACCCTCTTTCCAAGGAAAATCACCACACTTGACGTGAGTACCTAGCTTCAAGCTCAAGCCTCGAGGCATCTCACTGTAAAACGCGGCTGACCCGTGTCCTTCTTCTCAGTTCGCCGCCCTCATCCGAACGAGCAGTCTGCGGAGCTCGACAGCCAAGTCCAAGGCAAAGCGCGCTCAAGTGAGTGCCTGTGCGCTCCTGATTATCCTGTGGGGAGTTTATGTGGCTCGTGTCTGCAGAAACGAAATTCGCGTCGGACCATGGCCGTGATGGAGTACAATACCGACAGTAAGGACGCCACACCCGACAGCGAGGATGACCGTGTGGCCATGCCCCAGATTTCCACTGATGTCGTACCGGTGCCGGTCCTCGAATCCGTATGAGCTGTTCCTTCTTTACCTTTCTTGACCTTACCAAAGACTGCAGAAGGCAAATCGGAGTACGGATTCAGTGGAAAAGGAAGAGGAGGATGACACGGGGAACGACTCTGGGGTTGTTATATCGGATATCCTCCTCATCCGCCAACTACCTCGCACTCCACCCTCCACTTCCGATTCCCCCCATCCCAGTCCATCAAATGTAGCGGCTCTACGGCAGTCCTCGTCGACCGTCAGACCCCTGTCCACCGCGACGACCAACACAGCGAGCACCGCGACCCCTGCGAACGTGACGCCGCGCAAACGACCTCCGTCGCGGATACCCATCCCGTCTGTTCGAGAAGAGCCCCTGGATTCGATGACGAAGACTCCACCAGCAACACCGCGGAAGAACTTTCACATCTTTGGTATCCCTCTGCCAAGTCCAAGACGCGGATCGTTCAGTAGCAGCCGCCCAGCTACACCATCGGATGCGGGTGCGTCAGTATCTGCACCGAAAAGGGAGTCGTCGTCATCGAAGCCGCGATTCCTCATTGGAACTGGACTGAAAGTGTCATCGCCCAAAATGACGAATGCGCCCAAAGCTGCAACCAAACCCAAGGCGATGCCATCCCCGACTAAGACGCCACCAAGGACGACTCCCGGACAGCAATCTCCGTTGACCAAGTCGACATCACCCAAATCTGTATCGTCCCCGACCAGATCTGTGTCCGTCTCGCGGCCGCTATCACCCAAATCGCCCGGGTCGCCCAAATCCTCCTCTCCTCGGGCCCATATTTCGAGTGCAGCTGTGGCTGCTGATTCGATTGGCAAACGGAACAATCGCCAATACATGTCTGAAGTGGGCGCTCGATCACCGCGTATCGGGTTGCCAACTTCTCCGCGGGGGAGCTTGAATATCGGCACGCCAGGCAGTCTGAAGCACAGCAGCAGCACCGTGGGGAGTCCGGTTGCTGTGCGTTCAGCTCTCGGTGTATCGACGCGGGCAAGCGCTGGGACTTTGTCGAGTGTGTCCACCCGCGAGCGAAAGCCGTCGAGTGACTCGTCCTCGCAATCCCATTCGCAATCGCATGCCCATTCGAACCTGAATCCGCACTCACCTCACCACGTGCACTATCGCCCTGCAGCGCATTTGAGCGGAATTGAAGAGTGGCGGTTAGAGACTGATGAAGACGCGTTGGCGCGGATCGGCATCACCAATGTGCAGGCGAGGCCCAAACCGTTATCAGTCGCCGCACGGGCCGTGTCTGAGATAGGAAATCATGCCAGAGCACACGTGACGATCGCGAAATCTTCTCTGGCAACGACAACCATGACGTCCGCTGCGAGGACACCCAGTACGGTTGGGAGCACGGCGGGGAGAAAACATGGATCGTTTGATTTTGAGCGGCCGGGATGGAGTGTGGGGTCCGCGACGAGTTCGATCGGGGCGAGATCACGCAAGAGGCCCGAGTCAGAGGAGAACATTCCGATGCGGCGCGGTGCGCATATATCCGCGAAGGATCAGCAGAACAGATCGACCAGTGCGGGTATGGCTGGAGTTGGCTCGGCTCGGTTCTATGCGTCCATGGCACCGCCACCGCCCGCTGAGCCTGAGCCGACGCCACGCCAGAGGACGGATAGCTGGGGCAAGAGTCCCGGGAAGCGGTTGAGTGCAGGGCTGACGAAGTTGTTTGGAAACACTGGCAGCAACAGCAAGCCGAGTAGCGTCGTGGGAGTCAATCGACAACACGCCAAGTTCTCATTCGAGCCCCCCGTCCGGCTGGCGTCGCCTCCCTCCCCCGAACCTGTACTCGAACGCAGGCCCTCACCCTCTCCACTGTCCAAGCGCGGGCACAGCGCCAGCCACTCGACGTCCAGCACAGCGAGCTCGGCTCCCAGCGTGGGACATCGATCTGGCACGAAGCCGCGGTCGCTGGATCTAGGGTTAGGTCTCGCGTGGGCACCCACCAAGCTGCGCGAGGACGCGGTGTTGCCCGCCTCTCCGCTGGGGAGGAGCCTGAGCACGAGCAAGCGGGCGGAGCAGGGCCGTGCGGTGGCTGAGCAGTTCCGCAGTGCGCTGGACGAGGACGGGTATCGGAGTTTCAAACGATGTGAGTGGTTGTTGTGTTGTGCCATCCTTCGCGCCCAAGGTTATTTACGTTGCATCGCAGATGTGCACCGGTTTGACGCGCATGAGATTCCGTTTGACGGGAGCACGGGGATCGTCACACGGGTCGAGCGTCTGCTGAAGAAGGCGCGGCATCTGAGCGACGACGAGCGCGCGAGGATGATGGATTCATTCATCAGGATTATACTGCAGGCAGCATGAGACGACGACGACATGCCACGAGGACGACACATCTACGCGCATCCACATCTACTACATCTGCACGCCATCTCTACGTTTCTGCTCACTTGGGTTCACGCTGCTTCATGTATCTCATGCTTCTGTTGTGTATTCTTATCCGCACCTGCCACCTACTTACCTAATTTGCTATCCTATCCGCATTGCAATGCTATCTCATGTTTTCATGATGAGCTTTCCTCGTCGTTGGCGGTTGTCCCGAAAATCATGTGGGTCCTGTGCAAGGAGCAGTCGGCGTAGACGTAAATATTCCGTTGTACTCATTCGGATACACACATCCCGCCACTGCAGTGACCCCACCCGCCGTGTCCTGCGGATCGAACCATCCATCCGGCACAAAGCTGGCTGAAGCAGGCAGGGTTCCCACGGGCATGGTGATGACGGCTGCTGTTTGCGTGTATGTCGGCAGCAGACTGGCGGGCACTCCGGCATTGGACAGTGTAGGAGGAGGCCATGGGAAAGACGCCGTGGACGAGGCAGCAATGGAGGATGTCGCACCGCCAGTCATCCATTCTGCGTAGCTGCCATTCCACGGACTCGGGGTTAGCCCCAACTCTGCGCACTTGCCGAGAGCGGTCCGAGGATCTCCTGGTATCCATCCCTCACGGAGACCAAGCTCGTAAGACCATAGAGGGGATCCGATGGATCCAGCCCCATTAGGCCCAATCTGCAGCACCGGTCAGAACAATCGCGACTAGATACCATCCGCTGATTTCGCCTGCCTTCCATGTCCAAAAGAACCAGTCTCTTGTGGCGTCCATGATCGCCAGAACATACTCGGAGATTCCCGCCTTCATGGACTCGTTGAAATGCATATAGTCGTCGTATTCCGTACACTGCGGATTGGTCGACTCGGGTCCGACCCCGCGGAGAAAATAGCCACAGTCGTTGGGCGACGCAGCCCATTCCCCCGTGACGGTCACGCCGAACGCCGACTGCGATGCGTTGATGCTCAGGCCCCACGCATTGCACGCTTGCCGTGGCCACTTTCCACCCGGGCGACCATTCGCGTCCGGAGTCGCGATTGGCGACGTGTCGATCCCACCGAATGAGAAATACGGGTGGGTGTCCAGAATCATCCGATCCGACCCGGCCAAGAAGCCAGCCCAGAAGTCGAGCGACTGGAACCCGTCGTGGATTGCGATGTACTGCGCTGCCAGCGTGAGAATGTGAGTATGCGGTATCCGAACTATCTTACGGGACCGTTCCCAGCTCCGTAGCCCGTGATGCCTCTGATCATGGAATGTGCTTGCAGATAGAACGATGTCAAAGCGTCGATTCCTATTACCCCGAGGAGGGCCTGAAACACTTGAGACAAAGACGAATAAATGACGGTGAATGTGCCTTACTTCATTGACGATCCCAAAAACGGGGATCAGATCCCGGAAAGCAGGTTGCGAGATGAACTCGGTGAGAACCCGAACGTAATACAACGTCCTTTCAGCATTGGCCAAACCCCTTTGCACAACAGATCAGCAAGATCAATCGCACGTGGATGTCTCTTACATGTTTCCGGAGAGAAAATTCACAGGCGACAGTCTGTACACGATTGAGCACCTCGATTTGGTGAACATGTAGTCGCGCCAACCGTCCAGAGTGGTTATTGCCTGATGAAAGCGCATGAGCGCCCCTTTCGGAATATCAAGAGCAACACCCACCGTTCTGCGATCCGGGAACAGTATGTAAATCCAAGAAAACACGTATTCCGTACTTGCGCGCCCAACCAAGCAACCTTAAAAAATATCTACGGAGTATGTTATTTCCGAGGTACTACTGGAGAAGAAAGGCATACGTCCAGGATGTCCTCGCAAGGAACGGTTCACCAAAGCTGTTCGGGTCTCCAGGCCAGGTTTCGATGGCCCAGAACGGGATGGGAACTCGAATCCAGTTGAGACCCGCGCCTGAAAGTTGAACCAGGAGTGAAATGGTTGTATCGGAGCAGATCGGAGCATAACGCAGACTTACCTGCAATCTGAGCAATGTCTTCCTCCGTCTGGAGTGAAGAGTAAGTCAGGATGCAACCATCTCGAACAAACTGACTATAAAGGTGTTGTAATGTTGCTCAAGCTGGCTCAGCCCACCACCGGCCGTGTCGTTGGCCATGGCAATTGAAAGTGTCCATTCGTCTACAGCCTGGGGCGAGTACTTGTCAAAATACGAAGCAGTGATGAATGGCTCTGTTGACGAATCAAACCAAACATCAGGAGCAAACAGGTTGGAGTACCGAGAACGAAAAGGCCACCAAGATTCACACCGTATATTCGATCCACCCCCCATGTCCAGCTCGTGTTCAGGGGCGGAGTCCACGAATTCGGTCGTGCATTGTTGTTGAACGGGTTGGCCGGGTCTTCGACCCCTTCAGCGTAGCATTAGGCCCATCATCGGTAGGTCGCACGACGAAACACCCACAGAATCCCCCGAAAGAGTTATTGTAGACAAAATGCCCGCCATCCAACGTAGTCACAGTCGATCCGTCTCCGCCGGTCTGCGAGTGGATGAGAAAGGCGACCCGAGGTAGATGTGTTGCGTCTGCACCGTATATTTCGTGGATGTCGCGTTGGAAGAAGCGGGAGAACCAGACGAATCCAGCTCGTGTCTCCGCCGGACCGTGCCGAAATGGACACCTAGCACGACCACAAGCACCAGACCAACCACCGCAGCGCAAAGAGCGACGACCCGGCGTCTGGTAGGTTTGAACCTGGCGTGGCGCGTGACTGGCGCATGCTTTGAGTCCCGGGGCGATTCGAGAGGGGCATGGGCCATCGGCATGCGCACTGCTCCCCGAAAGACACGCGTCTTGAGGCTGGTAAACAACAAAGGCAGAGGATATGACGGGCTCAGTACACCGTGCAGGACACGGAGCGATAAGAGCGTGCGCCGGGCCTGATCCGGATGGAGACTTGTCTGCAATCACTTCGATTTCGGCAAAGGCTGAGCACATATCCGAGATATACACGAGAATCTTTGTCGTCTTAAGCGTTTGCAGCGTGGGTAGGGGAACTTCGCATGACGATTAACGAGATTCAAGTATTCTTACGTGCTAGCTTGTTAGCAAAGACGAGGACGCTCCATCCTAATTGTGGGACAGACAGATACTTGGTAGGAACCACGCCATCGTCATGACGTAGACGAATACCGTCTCGTCCTCGAGGATACGGAAGCCTGTCGAGGAAGCACTCAAGATTCCGTGGGACGCCGTAGTCAGTCATTCGCGGCGGCCGACCAGGCGGTTGAGATGGTTGTTGCCCGGAAGTAGTGCTAGTAAGTGGCTGTGTCCCTTATCCTCCAGCTCTCTGTTCTTACACCCATGTCTAAATCCCCCACAGTCTATCTCGCTCATTTTCTCGGTATCCTCTGGGCGTATCTTGTTTCTCTTGTATCCTTGCGTCGCCCGGTCCGACACGACAATATCGCATTACCTACGACCTCGCCGCGTCCTCCAGAACCGAGCACATTCGGATCTCCAGCTGCAGCGATACACGTACTGGGTTCGCGCATCCTACCTTGATTTGTGACAAAGAAAATTCAGCAGATCGCTTTCCCACTTTCACTAGATCCCTGGCAACGCGACAAGCAAGATTTCCTACGACGGCCGAGTCTGCTCAAGGCGAGCGCCAGCCCCGCGTGGGTCAAAGGACAGAAACTCAAAGCTCAGTGGACATCGCGCAAGAAATCAAGTGTCAGCAGCAAACGTACGCAGAGGACATCAGTATACCCCCCGCCGCCGGAGATCTACGTGCAAGACTGGAGTTCGGTGACCGTCAACATGGATGATCTCTTCCACAGTCCTGAGCTCCTGCCTAAATCTGAAGCGCCTCTGCAAGTCGAGCAGACGTCTGTGCCTGAGATCTCTCCTGCGCCCTCTGAAGAATCTGCCGACATCGCGGAGGTTCTGACTATCTACACGACCGACCATCCTGAACCCGAGCTCGCCTGTTCACTGGACTTGCCCATCTACTCTCCAGGCGACATGTTCTCTGCTGCTGGCGATGGCTCGTTCTGCGATCCCTTCGCATCGCAAGTGACCTCACCTTCGATCCCACTTCCAGCCACCTGCCCCACGGTGACTGTTCACTCTGAGACAGGCAAGACGGTCCCGGTCCCGCTCGCTATGCCCGGCTCTGGAGAGAACTCCCACGTCCCGTATGTTGATATCTTCGACCTGGACATGTATGCCAACAGGATGACGGGCCATGCTCAACCAGTCTGTGGGTCTAATGTACAAGACGGATGTCGCAGTGCCTCGTTCTCTGTCACTCTTCCCCCGTCCCCTCAACGGTCTCCTCTGGCATCCGTTACGAATGCTAACCTAGATGAGAGGAAGCACAAGAACGATTGCGGGTCCTGGTTCGAGGAAACGAGTCAGGGAAGCATCAATACTCAATGGCTTGTAGCATGATCTGAATCAGCAGGAGCTTGACTCGACCGTAGCTGTCTTCTATGGATCGAGACGTGTTGTGTCAAGTCTGTCCGCCGGATCGCACACACACCACACGGTCCATAAATCGTCCAACCGCACCTATATCCATTACAATACTCGGTATAAGTGATTAGGATTACGCTATCTTTCAATACCCATCTCTCTCTGAGCTTACGAGCAGGATCCACCTGCAACGTCAATGTTCGCGAGCGACGGGATCTCGTCGTCAGTGTAGATCTTGAACTTGGTGGCCGGGACGCCCTCGAAGGCGGCGGCGAATCGCTCGGCAGTGTTGTTTGCGCCATCGACTTGTCGGATCCAGGCGCAGGCAATGAAGTCTCCGTATTTGCGGATGCTATAGCGGCCAAGGTCAGGGGATTCTGGAGAGCGAGGTGGTATTGTACTCACGCCTCGGCGTAGGTCTCGGGATCCTTCTGCGTCGAGTCTCCGATGGTCAAGAACTTCTTGCCCGGGTACATTCCCTGGATACGGTCGATCATGGCAGACTTGTACTCAAAGATTCCGTTGCTCTGCACACGCGGATCATCAGCATCTGGGTCCTTCAGTCCAGACACACGCAGAAGACGAACCTGAGCAAAGTTGATGATGTCCTGGATGTTCGTCGTCGTCAGGTTCTGCAGCATGATCGGTCCGTTGGAAGCAGAGTACGTCGTCGAGATGAAGTCCCGCAGGAAGGGGTACAGCTGGAACGGCGAGCCAGAGACGTAGACGAATTGAGGGGAGTTGAGCGACTTGGCGAGCGACGCGTAGAGCTCGGGCATGCCCGTCACAGGCACCGGCGTGTCGATCAGCGTCGTTTGCGCAAGTTGCAGCTTGTCGAGCGTGTGCGAGACCTTGACCGTGTCGTCAATGTCTACAGTTCTATGAGCACCAATTCCGAGCACGGAACAATCAACGACATACCAGAGATGACACCAAATCCGCTGTTCGACGACGGGAACATGGTAAAGTTCACGTTCCGGTTGTTCAAGAATCCGCTGAGCTTGACATCACCCTGCACAGCGGCGTCTCCGCTCGCACACGCTCCGACGGAGACATTCTGGATCGCCATTCCCCCCGAAGCCGTCGAGGGAAGCGTCGCCGGCTGCGCACATCCGTCTACGTTGACAGTCACCGCTTTGCCCGAAAGCCCGAGCGTGGCAAACAGCGCGAGCCGGCCCGTGACGGTGTCCGCCGTGCTCGAGCTGACGTTGAGCCCGATCGCCTTCAGGGCGCTCGTGACGCCATCGATGAGCGGAGAGATGCTGACCTCGCGCGTCGACGCGTAGGCTTGCAGCTGAACGAGTGTGTTTCCGGGGTTGGCTGGGTCATCGAAGGCCGGGGCATCAAAGACAAGAACATCGTCAAGTGCGTTAATCGAAGACCGTTCAGCGGGGGGTGCGTATCCGCGCGGCAAAGCGTTGACCGATGCGAAAGCAGCGAAGGAGAGAAGGAAAGAAGTCTGGCGCATCTTTGCAAAGAAAGGATCGGTTGTCGAATGAATAAAGAGGGAAGCAGGGGAGAAATAAACAAGAAAGCGCAGCTGCTCAGCAGATGAATGGAACGAATGAATACCGTGACCCTGCGCGTCTCTTATTAAATCCACGCGGATCCCGTAACTTGTAAGCCTCGGAAAGAGCAGAAGTCCATCACCGCATGCGAATTCTCGGTCACAGGTTGGTCGTGATATCAACATTGACAGGATCGTCTGTCTTCCCCAGCAACCAGTCGTGCGTATGCACATCAGGGCCTCATAAACACATGCAGAAGGTGATCAGGATGGAAAAGCGGAGTCCGATGAGCGTCTGGCGAGCGGGGTCACGGTGCAGGCAACGTGAGGAGGAAGTCCAGTAGTCCTGATGCACACATGCTTCATGATTTGGACGACGAATCGAAGACCACGAAGGACTGGCCAGCAGAAATCGAGGTTGGCAATGGATTCCGGACTATTTCGGATGATATACATAGGTCGTGGATCAGCAGCAGGAAGATGAAGGAACTGGCGATTGTGATGGTTGTGAGCGGTGATCCTACGTCTCGGCCCCGGTCCCGGCGGTCCGATAGTGGGAATTGCGCGGCAAAAATACTACCAAGTACCTAGATGTGTGTATTTCCAAAGGATGAGAATGGTATATTTACATCGACCCCGCGTCACTTGCACAATGACAGAGCCCACATGGCGCAGTAGTTGTATAGTGCATGCGATCATTTCATTTCCGATTGTCGAATTTCCAACGGAGGAGGGGCAAAGAGGGAACAAACTATTGGAATCAAGTCAACGACCCACACACTGGCTCCGAGATCGCGCCAAGGAAAAGTGCCGTTTTCCGGGATACCACCAACGACGTTCGAGAGGCGAGACGTTTCACAAGTCGAAAGTCGCGCGAGGACTTGCAAGATTGATGCCGAGGCTTTGCCGCACACCGAGGGCAATTCGGAGAGGCAAGCCCTTGGCAGATGTGCTACCTATCGCATCATCATGCGAAACGCTGGGTCTTTACTAATCGAACGCCGACTTCCTTCATCAGGATGAAAGCAGATGCAAGTCGATGCTCCGGGACACAGAGAGCGACCAGATCAAAATTGTTGAGATAGTCACTCAAACCTAGGCTTCCAAAAAGTGCCCAGGCCCAGATGTATCCCATGGGTGTTAGGTGACGGGCGTCTCCTCTAAAAGCTTCACATTGAAGCGAAGACGTGCCCATGTCGACGTCCCGATGTCCCTGTACGCAACCATAATTTCCTTTGTACTGCCGCATCGGCACATTGAGGGGGTGAGATAAACGAATGCGCCAAGTTGGTATCCGCTTCATTTTTGAGAGAGAACTTGCGCGATCCCAGATCCTAGCGATCAGTGATACACCCTCCCAAATCCGGATCGTCCCCCAGCCAGCAAAGCTCATGCCGAGGCTTGGAGCATGGTCCAGGTCCCCTCGACTCAGTGCGAGATTGCTGTCGACCGAGTCGCCCACAACATGGCTCTCGAGCGACTCAAAGGAGAAACTTGCTCGACTCATGCCACTCCTTCCAAGTGTATGATGCGAAGTTGAGGATGATTGAAGCACCCAAGGATGTTCCCCGTTCCTTGTCGCACAGTACCGCGAGCGGGAGCGAAGCGGAAATTCATCGAGAGCAGAAGGTAAAGAAGAAGATTTGGAGCACTCAGAGCCAAGTTGATAGTGTGAAGGTCTCACTACATTCATGCGCTTGGGTGGCTGTAGAATCCACAGCCATTGAAATAGATGGCAGAGAAACCCAAGCGGGCAATGAGACTGGCACAAGGTCCCAGGAGAGCGACTCTCTCATCGAAATATCGGCATCTACCCTTCGCAACCAAAAAGTCCCCCGGACAGAGGGCTTGCACAAGGACACTTCTGATTAGTACTTGATGATGGAGGAAGGACTGACGCTGTTAATCAGGAGAACTGGACACAAAAAAGAGCACAAGACAAGACGCAGAGTATGGAAGGGCGAATAGCAGACGAAGATGAGATGATTTGAGAGAGGGATGCGTCTGAGACTTCCGCACAGTGATGAGGTTCGTAGATAGCGACTAAGTGCACCCGGTATCATTTTCCAGTGATCTCTCTGGTCTCCGAGACATTTTGAGTCGTCAAGCTTTTGCGCAAAACTGACGTTCGAATGCACTGGTGAACGCTCGTTGGTGAAGAAAGTGTTCTGGGACTTGCACGTGATGAAGTGGTGGTCCTCCACGTGAGCAGACCGTTGCCATGTGATCGCGATTAGTAACTTGGGCTCCGCCATGATTGAGGGTTTGCCCGTCGAGCTCATTGGCAAGATTGTGGGCGACCTGAGTCTCGACGATGCTCTCAAGATTTCACAGCTCTCGCGACGTCTCAGAGCCGTCTCGTCGGATCCGGTCCTCAATGTCTGGCGACCGTGCATCCTGCGCAACCTCAAAGCGAGCACCTATGAAACTGCATTCAAGACCCTCAGCGTACATACGGTCGTTCCGCGGCACAACTGGCTTGAGATTCTGTCCCTCGGAAGGGCTGCGTACCTACTCTTCGACGCGGTTCTCCCGAATCTACCAGACGCAGAGTGGGAGGAAGCGTTCAAGCGGAGGTTTCTGACGTCATGGGCCAGCGCGTACCACAAGAAAGCGCATACGACGTGGAAGTCTGCTTTTCTGCGCGTGCTGCAATACACGTGGCATCGGAGTACGACAACTTGCAGTGTCAATGAGGCATGGACCAAGTCAGTCCCCGGTTGCTGCTGTTATTAGTTCAGCCTCCAAGTTTTGTAGATACATCCTTCTGAACCGGAACGGAACCGCGAATTACTTGGAGGGCTCCTCAAGAGGGTTCAGTCCTTTTGCCATCTTTGAAGAAACCAGGCACGATAAAATCCAGTCAAAGTCTCGACAAAGTGAAATGACGTCACCCCCAAGAACCCAGCAGAATCTCTTGCATCTGCCTATGCGTGTCAGAGTTTGTGCCCCAGTGGCCATTGACTGCATTAACGCTGAAGATTCTCTCCCCAGGTCCTGGTTGAATTTTCTGATGCGCGTGTGCTTGTGTTGGGAACATTAAACCGCCCCCGGAGCTCTTTGAGCGTAAATGCGAATGCAAAGTTGCTGTTACAGCCTCCAGGTATTCGACCGGGCGGAAGCACGCTCTCAAATCTAGACTATTCAAGAATCAGATATCCTCTGCCTGCAGAGTCATTTTTCAATTACCCCTTCTACACGAGTGGGGGTTCGGATCGGCGCTGGCTGGCACCGGGAGACGCCGATATGGAATGGGTCGGAAGCGTCATGTTCGTCGTCTGGAATTTTTCGATTTAATTGTTCTTTTTGAGGGGCTGATCTCCGCGGTTCTTAGGCTCGTCGCCCAGATAATTACTCGCGATTCGAACGACGACGCGACTGTTTCAGTCGATGATGATGAATTTGAGGACCTCGACTTCATACTGGGTCCCGGACGAAATCAATACGCTTCGTTTACATGGGAAGACCTTTGGACGGTGGCGCCTTGGATTCGGGAGAGTATCTCCAAGGAAATTGATGGGGCCGGACTGGGTCTCTAATTTAGACTCATCAGTGGCAGTGCCGCTCGTTTGATCGAACACAACAACATCAAGATCCAACTTCTCCGGATCTCTGAATTTACAACCATGATCGGATATGTGATCGGAAACCGTTTCAAAACACAAAAAGAAACCTGTTACGCCCCGAGGCTGATTATTATCCTCATTGTGTAACTGCGTCTCTTGTTACGTACCTTGTGGGCTCACTCGCACACGCTGATTCTATGTTCCGCCGACAGCTCTCTCCGTCCGGACATCCATTCATGATCATCGTCTTTCCCTGTGAACAATAAGCTTTCTCGCTGCTTTGTTGCTCCATTGGGTTTGTTCTGGAGAGTTTAAATAACGATTCTTTTGACCGAGTATCTGCATTCTCCTCTACTTCCTTTCCCCAACGTTGCAGGGCATCGTAGCAAGCCATTCCCCTCTTTCCCAGCCTGATACCTTAATTTAATACAGTCATGACGATCGTTGTGCGTGGTGTTCTCTTTTTCTAGTCCATCCATTGACCGAATTCTTTACCAGCTGTTCCCTTGCAACGAATGCCACAAGAAATTCACGCGCTCCGGCGATCTCAAGCGTCACAGCCTTATTCATCTTGGAATTAAGTGAGCTCTTCCCCCACCTTCTGATCAGAGCCTGAGCTGATACAAAAAAGAGCTAACCACTGCAAGATCTGCGGCAAGTCGTTTTCCCAGCCGTCGGGCCTCAAGACACACATGAATACCCAGTGCGCCATCTTTCTGTTCTTCCTTGCAGTATTTCTAATGTCTTGTGTCAGCACAAACTCGAGACCTCACCGCTGTGGCCGAGGAGATTGTGCAGCCACGTTCAATGACCCTTCCTCTGCATCCCGTCACCGCAAGGAAGCGCACTCGTCAAGTCATGTATACAAGTGCCTCGAATGCGGTACTTGGTCTGTCCCGGCTCTCTTCCCAATCCATTCGCGATCTGACATTTCAACTCCCCGCCAGCATCAAGCGCAGGTCCGCCTTCACGACGCACCTGAAGAAGCACGGAGACCAGTTCTTCGGTGTCCCAGTCGACATCTTCTATCGTGGCGACATAGCCATAGGGAGCAGGAAACGGTTCCGCCGGGCATCATCTGAAACCTCCTCTGATTCCTTTTCGATCTCCTCGATGAGTATGTCAATTCCCCTTATCACTCTTCGTGTGCTATCGTCCTGCCTCGGCTGACTCTGGCTGATTTTTTTCTGGGTAGATGATGCATTCGATGGCTCTACTTATCATGATCAATTCACGGGCTCCGCGGGCGTTAAAGGCTTCGACTGGGGCTCGACGTCATTCTCTTATGATGGGCTTGACTACTTGTCGTTGCCAGCTAGTGAACAAACGACCCCGTTTGATTCTCCAGAACTCAACTTCAACGTACAAACTCAGTACCTATCCGAATGCCTTTCCCGGTACGCGTTTGGGTCACTTGACCCCGTATATAACTTTGGGGATCAGCATCTCTATTCCGAGGCCGGACTCGTGCAGGATGTGGACTTCAGTGGTCTTTACACAATGCCTTGAATAGGCGGTGGATCCGCTTGTTACCAGTTATGTTGCCAATGCCGCTATGTCAACTTTATTATATGATACATCTCGTCGAGCTTCTTGCATAATTTGTATCCTTGTACTGTACTCCCAATCGCTACAATAATGGACCGCTGATGCAGATGCAATGGTGGTGAATGGGGATAAGACCGACAACAAGAAGTGTGACCTTGATTAGACGCACTCACGTGTTGGCGACATCAACAAAATCTTCAATCTCGTCCTCTCGAACACCTCCCCCCATCTCCCGCCGCTAGCCCGTTCGCCGTGGCCCTTGCTGTACCCCGTGCTTATCCTTACTTTTGTCTCCTATACCGCCCTTGCCTCTCTGGAGCGCGCCGACCGAGAATCTATTCTAATTCGGCGTCCATGCTCGCTTATGCGTCCCCCGCATCCCCCTTCCCAGACGGCGCGAAATACTCTAAAGACCTCGATTCCTTCAACAAACTCCTGCCGCCACCGATAGAATTCGTAGAAGGGTCGTCGTCTGGTGCCCTAGCCGTGCCCGAGGGCAAATACGATCCTATAAACGCCACCCCCAAGGCGTCTAAAGCAGATGTGAGTACATTCGGACTTCAAGGTGGAGCAGACTCATATATCATTCCTCCTCATCAGGCTGTGCGCCCCTCTTCCATCGTTGCTCGCCCATCCACACCCACGACCCCCAAACCCACCGCTGCATCAACACCCCGGGTGAATGGCAAGGCGCCGTCTCTATATCCCGGCATTATCGACCTGACATGGCCACCGAATGTGTCTTCATCCGGAAGTGGTTTGTACAACAGCGGCAACACATGCTTCCTAAACAGCGCCCTGCAATGTTTACTGCACACTCCTCCGCTTCTCCGACTGTTATACGAGCACGCCCATAGTCGATGTCCGTGACATCCAGTTGTATCTCAGTGCCAGTCCTCTCACTGATCGAATTGTAGGTCCCGTGAAGGACAACGCGTTCTGTATGACATGCAGCCTCGGGAAAGTCGCATCCCAGGCGTACAGCAATCGAAATGCGTTCATGCCGCAAGCTGTGTCCGGGAAGCTACAAAGTGCGCTCTATCTGCCTTCCCGGTCCGATTAGATGACTGAGTCTGTTGCACAGCAATCGCGAAGCACATGCGACGGGGACGTCAAGAAGATTCGCACGAGTTTCTTCGATACGCCATCGATGCGCTGCAAAAGTCTTGTCTTGCAGGACAACCTCCGTGCGTGTCTCCTTTCTCTAGACTCTTGACTTAGGTCTATAACCGTACGCAGAAAATTGGACCCCAAGTTGGCTGAGACGACCTGGGTGCACAAGTTGTTTGGCGGCAGACTACGTTCACGAGTTAAATGCACCGAGTGTGGGCATAACAGCGACACATTCGACAGCATCCTGGACCTGAGCGTGGACATCTTGAACACGAACAGCGTCAAGCTGGCTTTGCGCAAGTTTGTGGCGGTCGAGTATCTCAAGGGGCAGGACAAGTACAAATGTGAAAAGTGCGTCGTGATGCGCGTTTAGCTCGCATCCTCTCTGACCTGTTACTGCAGATGCAAGAAGCATGTGGTCGCGGAGAAGAGCTTCACGATACAAGAGGCGCCGGCGGTGTTGACGATGCACTTGAAACGGTTCACTCCGATGGGCCGCAAACTGACTCACTTTATCGACTACGAGGAACGATTGGCACTGAAACCATACATGAGCGACGGCTCATTCGGCCCATCGTACTCGCTGTACGGCGTGATCTGCCATGCCGGTGGTGGGCCCAACTCGGGACACTATTTCTCTTACGTGAAAGACTGCCGTGGGCAGTGGCACGAGATGAACGACGAGTCTGTTACGAAGGTTCCACACGCGCCGCTGAAGCAGAAAAACGCGTACATCCTCTTTTACCTGCGGGACAGAGGGCAGGGTCTCGATGCGGCAGTGAACCTTCCACCCAGCGCAATGGTGCCGCGCCAGAGCATCGCCAAGAACATGAAGAAGCGAAAGGCTTCCGAGGATGGACACGAGGACGAGGGTGTCAAGGTCACTAAACCCTTTATTGGGCCGCGCATGCCTTCTCCGGACCGGATCTCGACGCCGAAGAAGACAGCAGAGAAACCCAACGCAACACCTGCCAAAGCCGATCCGCAAGCAGAGCGTGTCCGTCAAAAGATCGAGGCTGCGCAAACGAGCAAAGCCTTGGATGGTCTCGAGGCATATGGATCTGACTCGAGCGACAAGGAGGACGACGGGCCTGAGGAACTGGCCAATCCGAAAACGGTTGTGGGAGTGCAACCTCCGCCGACTGTTACCTCACCGCTACCTCCGTCTTCCCCTCTGCCGACGTCGGCTACCACTCCGAGTCGATCCTCAACGACAGACTCCAATGCTGCCAACTCCGTTCGAACGCCCATTTCAACGACTAGCTTCTACGGTGGCCCAAGTTCTTCACACAAGCGCAAGCACTCGGAATCCTTCGGCAAGGAGCGCCGTTCGTCTGCTGCCAGTTTCAATCCGTTCGACAAGAGTCGACTCACCAACGGCCGGAAGAAACCGAGACCGTTGTGAGCATAGTTTGCGAGTTAACGTACTTACATACATAGACTTGGTCGTCCGTACATGTATGCAGTATTGAGTTATCCTTGGACTTGAGTCGCCTGGCATCTTGATTACACATAAATGGTGACAAAGACAAGGCTTGACTTGCCTCCCACCGTCTATGCTACGCCGCGCTTGGAAGCCGGCATTGGCAGCCACGGTCCCAGCTCTCGGCGGCGCGTACTGGTATTATTCCCGTGAACCCAAGGAGGAGACGTTCGACCTTTCTGTTCCCGTCAAGAGAAACGGCAGACGTGAAAGAACGACGATGACGTTCCCGCTTCTTTCTCAAGACGCAACGGACGCGCGTATACGGGAGAATGCGACAGCGCATACTATTACGAGGCCTGGGATTGTGTGGCATCATACCACCGGTGCGCATTGCGTCGGGAGCGTCGCCGTTGTGTCGTATGAACTGATATGTGCTTACTTACTTGCCTAGCTTCGGTCGCGTCGAACGACCCCATCGAGGATGCCACCGCGCATCAGGTCGTGCGCCGGGATGAGGGAGACGGGGACCTTCTATTTTTTGCTGTTATGGACGGACATGGGGGGTTTTGGACATCACAACTGCTCTCTCGCGTTCTCATTGACGCTATTGCGCTGGAGCTCTCCTCCCTCGGCAAGACTGTATCAGACACTTGGTTCGGCGGCGTGAAAAGTCTGTGGCGCCGGCCACAGAATAAACAGGATGAGGATATCAATCTGGACGCGTCTTCCAGGGGTCTTCCGCCACCTGCGACACCCATGTCGTCGCCCCTCCTGGTCGCACGAGCACTACAAAAGTCATTCCTGTCTCTCGATGCCGAGCTTCTTGCTGCACCGGTACGCGTGCTGGCTGCGGCGTTAGCAGAAGACCCTGACGCGAAAAAGGGCAATGCGAGTTTGAAAATCCCGGACCTGAGCAAACACCCACTCGCGCTGCCCGCGATGCTCCCGTCGCTGTCCGGTAGCTGTGCGCTGCTGACGATGATCGACACAGCCCACAATAATCTGTACGTCGCCTCTGCCGGAGACTGCCGGGCTGTTGCTGGCGTCTGGGAGCCGGAGCAAGGTAAATGGCGCGTTGAGGTTCTGACAGAAGACCAGACGGGACGGAATCCATCCGAGGCTGAGCGGTGAGTGTGTCTCCGATCGTGAGGTGTGTTGGGTTCTGAATCGGTGTTTCTGCAGAATGCGCAGAGAGCATCCTGCTGATGAGGCTGGCGATGTCATCCGTAACGGTCGTGTGCTCGGTGGATTAGAGCCAACTCGCGCATTTGGTGACGCGCGATATAAATGGTCGCGGACCCTGCAGGCTACGTTGGTCTTTTCGATGGCTGCGCACATCCTATCACGCTAACGATGCTTGTAAGATTATATCGCGCGTTCCTTGAGGGTGGGGATCAGCAGGCACGGGGCCCACCTACGTTGCTCAAGACGCCGCCTTATGTGACTGCACGACCCGTCGTCACGCACCGAGTCTTGAACTTGCCAAAATCAGACGGAGCGGTCACCAACGCTCCCGCTCTGCGGTTTATCGTACTTGCGACCGACGGACTCTGGGACGAATTGAGGTGGGCATTTTCAGCTGCATATACTCAGGCATCGACCCACATGTGATCCTCTACCAACAGCTCAGAAGACGTCGTGCGCCTAGTCGGCGGTCACATCGGCGGCCTGCGAGGGAATGTCCCGAAAGACTCGCTCTCGAACCTCGTCCCGACCGTCGCCGGGTCTGGCACTGTGCAAGGCAAGGATGCAGACCACCGCCGAGCGCGGACCTCGGAAGCGTGGACTTTCGTCGACGACAACGCCTCAGCGCATTTGATCCGCAATGCATTCGGTGGGGCCGATGCGAGGTCGGTGCGCGAGGTGCTCAGCATCCCGTCTGGCCTTGCGCGAAGTTTCAGAGATGATGTTTCGGTGACGGTAGTCTGGTGGGAACAGGAGAATGAGAGTCAATACCAAGTCGCTACTCTCACAGTTCCACCTCCGGACGTCAAGGCCAAGCTTTGAGTATCGTGGATGATCTGTGAAGTGGATTATATAACACAGGTTGAGAGTACACTACACAAGCATGTAAATCAATACAGACACCTTGTAAGCAAACGACAATGTTCCCGTTTAAAACATATACAGACTTGCAATACACGACATGCGATGGACGAAAACATTTCAAACCGGACTGGGCTCTATCTGAGACTCAAGCTCGGGGCGACACGACAGCAGCACCGTGACTGCGCAGCGCATAGCGGGGCGTAGAAGACGGGACAGGTGACGACGGGGGCGACGTCATCGGGGTCAAGGAAGAAAGGGAGGACAGCCGCGACAGCGTTCTTGTCAACGAGGCGACTGCGTTCGGGTTGTGCAATGGGGTGTTCGTCCGAGGAGGCTCTTCCAGGGGCGGGGTGTTTCCTTCTTGGGTTACAGTCGGAAGCTCATCGCTCCCGGGCGGATCAGTGAGCGAGAGCATCGTGCCATTCGGGGTGATGGGAGGAGTGGGCACGTAACTTTCGTAATCGGAGGGATTGTTTGGGGTGTGCGGGGGCTGGTGCTGGGAAGAGGGATGCCCTTGCGAGTGCTCTTGCGACTGCGGGGGCGGAGTGCCTTGCGACTGGGGCCATTGTTCCTGCGACAACGGCTGCGAGAACACATCGCACGCCGCGCGCAGATCAGCTTCTTCGCCTGCAGTGATCGAGTTCCCGCGCAGCATGGAGAATAGCGAGGAGTGGGATGGGATCGAGAGCGACGTGTCCGTGCGTCGGAGCTTGTTCGGTCGCTCGCCCGTGACGGGATGGCTGTCCGGCGGTCGTGTGCGAGCAACCCCCATGATAAACCCATATCCGTGATCCAACACCTCCGTTCCATCGGGTCGTAAACGCTTCAACGCTCTAGGATTCCGCCTGCTCGGGTGTTTGATCGACTTCAGTGGAACCAGAGGGTTGTTGTATGCCCAATCGCGGACTTTGATTCCCATCGCTTCGAGGTCTGCAGGCGTCGGCTGAAGATCATCTTGTACGCGACGGATAGGCGAGGGAGATATGCGTCTCGCGGCGGGGGACGATTGGAATGTTTTGCTGGAGGAAGCCTCTGCTTCCGGTGGTGGGAACGCCATGGCGAGAAGACGGACAAGTAAGAAAGAGATCGTGATGGCGCTCGTGAGTGGGGTAGTGGAGTGAAATGAGACTGTCAGCCGTGGACTTGGACCTTCTTATACCCTCGTCCACAATTGAACTGCACAAGGAGATGACTAGAAAGAGGATACTCGCACGTGAATGCATGATTCGCTCATTGTTCTGTCACTTTGATTGTGACAGACTGACGCGTAACGCGCTGTGGTTCGACTCACGGACTGGCGCAAGCCATTACCAGCCATTACCCATTGTGTCATTGTTGCTTTCAAAGGTTTTGATCCGACATTTACCGAAATCATATAAGCTGACACCCTTGATTCAAAAAATATAAACTCGTTCGCTGAGATATTAATCAACAGGTATATTGCACTAAGATATCGATGAAATTAGCCTCAAGTGACCCTGAGACTGTATTCCAGATAGACATCCCTGGAGCCTGAGCTGAACCTTTCCCACGTGCTCTACACGGTCACGTGTCCTTGTGTCCAGATCGACAATCGCGTGTAGCAGCGAGCTATTTTAGCATCTTATCATATTCGACCGTGGGATTCCATTCAAATCGATCAAAAATTCACTAGTCCAACCGGCAGTAAACATTTTTCGCGATGCTCCGATGGTTCTGCTTGACATCTCTGATGTTCAGGCTGATATCTCTCGAGACTGGGATCGGCCGGGGCCAAGTCGCATCGGTCGCCAGGCTACGTGAGCTGTAAGAGCATGCGACCCACTTGAACTGTATCCATGTTCGAATTCTAACTAACCCTTGCTTCAGAACCGCCCTGCACGTAATCCCGTTCCGCGCGTCTGTTCCGTTGATGGTCGTTGATCGCCCTGCCGGCCGAATCGGAGGGCTAAAATTGCAAAAATCATTATCGGGTCACCAGTCAAGTGACATGTTGCAGAGAATGCAGGGCCCGCATGGATGGGGCCTAGCTGGTTCTGGAAATCTGACCGATCTGGTCGCGCCAAGCCGCCGCCGCTACGGCCGACTTCTCCTGCGCACGAGGCGGTCTGATCGCTGATACTTACTTGAAAGGAAGCCGACCAGCCTGAACAAGATTTTGAGTCTTGAGTCTTGACAGAAGTTGTCCGGGCGCCGCCGGGACAAGACACTAGTCTTGGCAGGACCGATGATAACCACGTGCCTTGCTCCCTTCCAATCCCCCTTCCCTCGTGCGTGTCGACTGTCTCCGTTCCGCGTCCGGTCAATTCCTGCAATGTCCATCCATTCTCTTGGCCATCTGGATTTCAGCGCCAATTCCACAACACGATCGACGACGCTGACGCCGGCTCCCCCTAATCTGCATCTCCAATCAGGGCGCAACGAAGTCATCTGGTTCTCGCGGAATGTCAGAAACTGACAGAATCGGTACCACAAGCGACGACGACCGTGGAGTCCGTTGGGCCAGCTTGAGGCCACCTCCACAGTTCCTGAAAGTGTCATGTTCGTAGCGCTCTGACGTCGGTCTCGCCCAGCAAGCGCGCTTGGGGCGTCCTTGAGAATCGCTCGCAAGGGCCACGCAGTGTGTTTGCATCCGGAGGCACTAGACCCTACTGCCATTCTTCTATCTCCCTGAATCTATTAGCTCGGATGATTCCGGAGTATCGTGATTCTGGACCCATGAGCTGGTCGCGCTTCACATGACTGCCGCGAATCCTGAAACCTTTGATCTCTCGAGATCTAAGACCTTGAAAAACGTCACTCGCTTAGTCGCTGCTTCTGATGTGTGGCACGAAGGAAGGAAGGGACAACGCGTTTCCCAGGCCGCCGCCGCTTCTGCGCAGTTAAATAAGTACTTTGGAAGAACGGAGTTTGGGTTTCCTGACTACGCCTCCTTTCGCCGTTTCCCTGCCCCGCGATGAGCAACAGCATCGACAAGGCGACCTTGTTTCGCATCGTGTGCGCTTCAACTCATGGGGCTGGCGGGTCGCGCGTGCTAAATGTCGATGCAGCTCATTCACACTAGCGGGCGCGGATGTGTTGCAAACGATGCCTGGTGCGTGAAATACTAGATTGTGTTGGGGACTCTCGAGCACTTAAGCAACTACCAGCTACATATAGACTGTATAGAAAGCAATGGGACAACAAGAGTCTGAGCCCTGTCTGTTTCTTCTACGCCATGTCAAGATAGTGAGCAGTTCGTCCAATGGAAAAGCTTTTGACGCTGATCAGCGGACTGCAGCATGAGCATCATCTCCCTGATCTCGAATGGAATCGGTTCGTTCTATGGTCATTCCTATATTCTGCTACCTAATGCTAAGTTGTAGGCGCCTTGTCGACCAATTTCACCTTGGAATCGTGCAGACGGTTCTACATGCTGCCCAACATTACTGCTCGTAAGCTCAAGTCGGATGTGCCCATGCGCTTGAGCTGAATGTTGTCCAAGTGCTGGCTGGCATTGCGGTCCAGGCGTTGCTCTTCATCCGGTCAGTTCGCTAGGCCTTGGAAGCTGGCTCGTCGTCTAACTTTCTAACTTGCACGACAGCACATACGCCATCTCGGGTCGCTCCAAGTATGTTATGTTCGGCCTGAGCGCACTGCTTATGGTCTGCATTCCGGTGCGTCCGACCGATTCAAGCTGGTGTGTTCCTGCTCCTCACGCGTTGCCAGCTGGAAGTGTTCGGAATCGTGTACCATCGTGATGTGAGTCCTTGCTCTCTCTCTGGGTCGAACAGGCGCTCAACTCTGTGCAGATGCAACTCAAGGGGGTAAGACTGTCCGATCTGTCTCTTCTCCGTCTCTCCTGAACTTATCTAGGGCGCGTGAGTGTTCGTTTCCTTGCGCTCTCAACCACGAGACTGAATACTTTGCCAGATGCAAAGGCAAAGTCTTCCACAAGGGCGACCCAGACTGGAATGTTGTATTCTACAGCACCCAGATGGGTTACGATCTCATCGTGTGTGCGGTGGGGACATATTTCCTGTGGAGCTCGGCCCTAGTCAACGGACAATTGTCGGTGTCCAACCCTGCCTTCCTTGCGCAGGCTTGCTGACCTGTGACCCTCCAGCAATGCTTCTCGATTCGTCCGGCGTGTGCTGCGCAATGGGCTATTGTATACGATCACAGTGTTCCTAGTGAATCTGTAAGTACTCGTTATCAGAGACACCGACATTGACCCACTGATAACCCATCGACAGCTGGGTCGTTCTGGAGTTTTCCAGGGTGTTTGTCACAGGAGCTGCATCGACCCTGCCCCTGACCGTTGTCATGATCGGTGCGTCGCTGTATAACAACCCACCAAGGACTGATTGGATGATATTCGCCGTTAATAGCGGCTCAGCACCTGATTCTCAGCATCCAGAGTCCCCGGGGCACGGACGATTCTGTCACCGATCGCCTGCGATCAGGTCCGAACTCGCGCACGATCAGCGGGGGACGACACCGCGAGACAACGCAGGGCGTGGAGATGTACAAAGTCACGGAAACGCACCTCCACCACGACCCGCCACCCCACCACACCCATCAGCAGAAGATCACATTCGATGCGGAGCGCCAGAGCGTCGACATCGACAAATCTGGACACTTCCCCCATTAGATTCGGTCGTCCGCCCGTCCGCTCGCTCGCGCCCACATTCGTTTCGTTATCTTGTATATATTGACGAAAAGATTGTACATATTGTGCAATAGAGTCCTTGACCGCCCCGATACGGTCGCGTCATGCAGCCGCCCACGATGGGTCGTAATTAGGTGGCAGTGTCTCCTCGAACCGCCCGGCATCGACTTCCTGTCGTGCTGGAGACCGGGACGATGAAGACGATCCCGTATTAGGTAACAGACCCGATTTGCGACTGGGCAGCGAGTGGCCGCCCCCGACAGCCGGCCTCGGGCTCGGGGGTACATCGGCGTATGGATTAAAGTCGTCTGAGAGCGGCACCTGAGAGTAATTGACGCCGGAGTACATGCCCCCCTAGAATCCTGCATAGAACTCGTGGCCGTCGGCGAGTAGCTGCCGTAACCCAGCTCATTGAAATTGGCTTGTTGGACGCTGGAATTCCGCAGGTGACCCAGCGTCATGGAGTTTTCTGGTAGATAGTTTAGGCATCCCTTGCGACTGGGACCGAGCGAGAGGCAGCTCACGAGGTGTGTGTTTATATGGGGTTATTACCAACCCGTCTGAAGACGTCGTCGACCGAAGTCGCGGCCTGTTGGAGCCGCCTCAGATAAGATAAGATAAGATGGATGAGGAGATCCGCACTTTCTTCTGTATCTTCTTCGAAGACAAACGAAAGCAGCGAGCAACAGCGCGATTGCACCTAGTACGGCGCCCACAGTAATTCCAGCAATCTTGCCGTCATGCCTGTCGACGTGCTGAGGTTTTATGGCAGATGGGGATGTCTGAAATGATGATGAAGTGGAGGACGGGGAAACGGATACACTCGAAGTCGAGGTCGTGCTGCAGAGCATGAGAGATGATGAGGCGATTTCGATTCCATCCTTACTTCTGTACATTCATCAATACAACCTATGCAAAATGGATTAGCAAAGCTCCCGCCGCAAACGATGGACGACGAACACTGTGGATGTCAGAATAATTGCCGTCGTTCAGATTGGTCAGGGTTACACGATATGACGTCGAAGGATCCAGGCCGCTTTCCCAGTATATCAAGTTGTCCAAAACAAACCATTTAGACGTGCCGCTGAGAACCCTGGGACCCGACGACGACCCCACTGCTGGGTTTATTTCCACACTCAAGTTCCCATGGTTATAATTTGTTGTTCCGTAGATAAAGACAGCGGAGCTAGAGCCAAGTGTCAAATGCGGCTGGGATATGCCCGACTAGCTAGCTGGGGCTCACCTGTTTGTGCATGTGAACGAGATGGACGCCCCTGCGGCATTGGTGTCCAGTCGAGTGTACCCTCCCTGGTCCTGATTGTGCTGGTTACTGAATCCCGATCCAGAAGTCGAGTAGAACGAATTGGTCTGCGCAGATCCATCACCCTGAATGCTCACTGCTACCTGGGTTGTATTCACTACAGATCTATGCCAACGGTCAGACACGATATCTCGAGCGGAATTCCACGCTCACGCAGGTCCGACATCTGGCCAGAGGTCGATGGACGCATAACTCAGAGCCAACGGTTGTGTTCCATTCGCCTTCAGTAGCAACGTGTGCTTGGCATGCGCGTCCAGGTCCTTGTAGGTCGCCAGAACAGAGCCAGAAGGTGCCCCGGCGACGGGAGCTCCATCGTCGAGAGTGGTGGTATACGCGCCTGCAGTCCCCTGACCAAAGACAGATACCCTGGTCCCGACGAACTCAATCTGGGCGGAGGCGCCGGAGAAGGTGGTCACATGCGAGCTAGAGCCCGACGGAATGTTGTTGGCCTTGTGTCTCGGATCGTACGCGCTGTCTGGCGTGCCCGTCCAAGCAGACTGCCATGTCGTATTCGAGCTCCCTTCGCTGCTGGGGAAAAAAGTCCATTCAGGGGATTGATCGGTGACCATGATCGTTAGGGGGGTCGCGGACGACATGGGAGAATCGCGGCGAGAAAAGCCAGTGACGCGCTGAGAAGACAAATAAAACGGAAAAGAGAGGATAGCGCGGTGGTGGAAGAAAGAGGACGCTCGTCGGGAAGGATTTCTGGCGATCCCTGGGAATCTGATAGTCGTCTAGGTACTACTCGACATGTAGTCTCCTACACGCACAGCACAAAACGCGTCAACCACGTATTCCAGTGATGCAGTTATAACTGTCCGTGTCTCTCTTGTTTCTTGATCCGTAGATATTGTCCCGTCCTGTGGACTGTTTCATCTTAACCTCGTCTTCGGGGAAGTGCCTCACGCGGCGGCCCACAACACAGCGGATGAACGACTGACACGACATAGCCACTGATGCTTGTTTGAAACTCCGTAATTGATCTTCTCCACAAACCTGTTCCGCACACGCGTTGAATGCACTTATACTTGGCTGGGCCACCAGGGCCTCGCGTCATCTATCTCATCTCCCCCGAGCGCCGTCGAGTGCTTTCGTTCCGGCAAAGCGAGTCGAACCCAGCACAGGCCGTCGTGGAATTCGTTCCACAATCACAAGTCAACCTCAATAATGCGATCCGTCTGACGACCAGAGTTATCAAGGGTTGCTTGGGACTGATCTCATTGGAGAACGGTGCGTCTATCTACCCTCTCCTGTTTTGAGGGCCGTGTTGACGTATCCCCAGATATCTTCCTCGCTGTCATCTCCAGCGCAACCGAGGTCGGGAATACGCGCCCCAACTCTTCCCGTGTGGAGTCAGTGTCAAAGATCCACCAAGTCAGCTTCTACAGTCTGACCGTTTCGACGTGGGATGATATCGCAGCGGAGACCCTGGCCACGACAGAGGCGGCCGATGCTATCGTCAGGGAGAACTACGGCCAGAATGTACCGACTCTCGAGCATCCATGCGCCCCGCTGACGAAGATCCTCTCGTCCGGATCCTTCTATTACGCTTCCGACTCCCAGTGGGACGTATCATCGCGCCTGTCGCTCCGCCTCGTACGAGATAAGACGCCGAACTTCAGCACTTTCGATCCGGCCTTCATCTGGAACTCGTTTCTGCTGCAAGGGCTGCTCGATTTCCGGGACCGGTTGGACAGATTCGAGAGGAGTGAATTCGACGCGTGTCAGTTTATAGTATGTATGCTGGACGCTGCCCTCTTTCCGACGAGCGTCAGGACTGAGCGGTCTGCAGCGTTTGGCGATTCAAGGCTATGTCGGCGTCTTCACCATGGCCCTGCCGGCACCTCCAACGAGTGGTGCTCCGGCCATCGTGACACTTTCGCTCATATCACGGCTCGGTTCGAAGCGGGCGGGCACACGATTCAATGCGCGCGGAGTGGACGATGGTGGGAACGTAGCTAACTTCGTCGAGGTGCGGATCATTAGAGCGCAGTCGGCCTGCATTCTAACGGCTTGCAGACGGAAACTATCTTTACGACGGACCAGCATTCTGTTAGCTACGTGCAAGTACGAGGGAGCGTTCCTTGTCAGTGCTACGTATCCATCTCTTCCAATGCTGATATGGTGCACGTCCAGTGTTTTGGGAACAGCAAGGGCTACAAACATTCGGTCATAAGATCCAGATTACCCGGCCAACGACGTCCCAACCTGCATTCGACCGGCATTTCTCGCAATTGGTGGACGACTATGGCTCGGTGCATGCCATCAACCTGCTCGGCACCAAGGAGAATGAAGCCTCTCTGACAAACGCCTACGCCCGTCACGTACAAATCGCACGCGAGGGTCTTGGGGATAGCATTAACATCAGCCACTTCGATTTCCACAATCATGTCAGGGTTGGAGGACACGACAGCGTGAGCCGAGAGCTGCGGTATGTGTCGGAAAGACCCGATGGTTGCGTCGCTTGCTGACGTGAGCTGCGCAGACGGATGGATCGGATTGCTACACATGTAGATGAATACGGCTTCACGATGTGTGATGCGACGACTGACGAAGTCGTGACCGAGCAAAAGGGTATCTTCAGGACCAATTGCCTCGACTGGTGTGTCGTGCAGCCCTCTGCTGATGACACGGCCTGAATGACACCCCAACAGTCTCGATCGAACGAATTTCATCCAGGAGATCTTATCTAGAGGAACATTAGAACAGTATCTGCTTCTCGTGAGACGAGAATGGCTGCATTCCAACACTCTTTGGACACATCACCGTGAGTTGTGGGGAGACAACGGCGATGCGCTATCCAAGATCTATGCCGGCACTGGGGCGCTCAACACCAGTTTCACGAGGAGTGGGAAACGCACATTAGCTGGTCAGTCTTTGCTTGCCATGCCATGACGTCAGCTGAACCGAGACGCAGGCGTCCTGTCGGATGCGACGAAGAGTGTATCTCGGGCTTACATCAACAACTTCCAAGACAAGGCCAAGCAGACTGCTATCGACATGTTCCTCGGGAATCTGAGCAACCAGCGGTCGGTGACGATATTCGATCCCATCCACGACTCTGTCCGAGATGCGCTAGAATCTCGGTGAGAGTCTCCTTATCAGCGGGTACGCGACCCTGGCTCACGAGGTGGTTAGGATCAACGAATACTCGTCAACCAGGCAGTGTTCTCTCTTCGTCGGAACATGGAATCTCAACGGCAGGGTAAGTGGTCTAGGCTTCCATTGCGTACTTTGCCGGGTAATCTGGATCTGTTTCAGCCTCCTTCTGAATCGCTGTTACCTTGGCTATTCCCACGCGAAACCAAGTCCGAACCAGACATCTTTGTCCTCGGATTCCAAGAAATTGTCCCTCTCACCGCGCAGCAGATCGTGCAGACAGATCCTGAGAAGCGGAGGGTCTGGGAAGCCAGGATTTTGGAGACGCTTGACCGACGGCCGACGAAAAAGTCGGACTATGTATTGCTGCGCAGTGAGCAACTGGTTGGTACAGCGTTGCTTGTGTTGGTGAAGACGGAGGTGGCGCCGTTGATGAGGAATGTCGAAGCAGCGACTAGGAAGGTTCCTTGGTTCCACTGCTGTTCGTGAGCCACCGTTTGAACGTGCTTGCAGACCGGTCTCCGTGGGATGTCGGGCAACAAAGGCGCTGTCGGCGTGCGATTGGATTTTTGCGACACCAGTTTCTGCTTCTTGACTGCGCATCTGGCGGCAGGTCATTCAAACGTCGAGGAGCGTAATATGGACTACCGCACGATTGTGAACGGGCTGCATTTCCAGAAAGGAAAAACGATCCAGGTCCACGAGTGAGCTGCGCTGTTGCTACGCCGGCACTGATCAGAGCGCTGATCGACCGATCGCAGTAACATTGTCTGGCTGGCGGATACCAACTACCGGATAGACCTTGAGAACGATACGGTCCGTTCCCTGGCAGTTGGCGACGAGTATGACGCGCTTTTGTCTGGAGATCAGGTGGGTGTTTGATGGCTGAGTTTGGCAAGACCAGGTCACGAGCTGATGATTGGGCAGCTGCGACAAGCGATTGACACTGGAGCAGCGTTTGCTGGATACGAGGAGGGCCCACTATTGTTCAGACCGACGTATCGGTACGACCTGGGGACGGACAATTACGACACGAGCGAGAAGATGCGCATTCCTGCGTGGACAGGTTCGTCACGTGTCTCTGCACCAGTAGGCGACTGCGCTCATAGACATTCTGTGCAGACCGCATTCTTTTCCGGGGCGGTGACTTGGATTTGTCGACGTACTCACGCGCTGAGTTGAAGGGATCGGATCACAAACCAGGTGCGGCAAGCTCATCGTGTTTGCTGCATGGGCGGAGTCCTGAGGGGTTGCTGCAGTATTTGCTACGTTCAGAGCGTCGGTTCGAACCATCGACGAGGCGAAACGGACAGCGCTGTCACAGCTTCTTCTGCGGAATGTGCTTGCGACGGGGCCAGGGCAGAGACTGGACGAGCAGCTGGCTGCACTGTCCCTGCCCTCGACAGTAGGAGACCGTGCGTATTGAACCCTGTTTGTGCGTGCGATAGTTGCTGAGTTCGGTGGTCAGTGCCGCCGCCCAGTTCTGACGAGAGTGCGTGGTGGAATGGACCTGGTGCGTTGCTGTATATTGTGCTACGTCCGTTTCTTCTGAACTTTATCGCACAGCGCACATGAACGGAGCCGTTTCTGAGGTCGAGATACGGCATCTCCGGACCGGGGTAACAAATCCCTTCGAGCTTTCTGATTCCGACTCGATCTCATCGTCGTCATCTTCGGACGAGGAGCTGTACACCGATGCCTTGACACTGCATGCGCCGATATCTCCAGTGCAATCTGCAATCCCTCGGAAAATGCCGCCGCCTCCACCTCCTCGCAAGAAACCGCCGCCCGTTGAGTAAGGTCTGTATCGGCAAGCTAGTATTTGTATCATGGATTATATAATCGACCCGTTCTCCTCGATAGCAGCCACATAGCGAGACCATTTCTCCGTCGGCTCCTGTTCCTCGACAATGCATGAAGTGATGTTCCAAGCACACTGACACGTCATCAGGACTGTCGTACCACAGGATACCAGGTGACTGACCTCGAGTGAACAGTTGAAGTAAAGATGGTCGCCAGGTCGGAACGTGCGCGCAATGTCGGCAACATCCGCGATCGCGCTCCGGTGTTTCTTCAGCACGAGGGCATCGAACGGAGCGGTGACGCTGTATACTTCAGCCAGCGCGGCGAGCGATATGATGATGCAGCCTTTGAGCGCCAGCGAGAGCAATCTCTGTTCCGTGGACACGTCCAGTTGCGAGATCGCAGCGATATGTTTTTCGACATCAGCGACGAGCACTTTGCAATGAGCAGACCACTCGCTCGCAACTGCATTGTCTGCTGCAGTTGATCTGAGTTCTGTGTGCGGCGATTTGCACCTCAGAATGACTTGCCAGAGTCCCACTCCGCCCGCAGCTCCTTGGCTCGGACTACAAAGTGTATGCTTTTAGCCCTGAGATAATTGATCTCGGCATAGCCCGTGTCGCTGGCCTGATGAGTTGTAAGCAGAGATTATTCGACGAGCGCATGACGGCGACCGACGACAAGATGCCGAAACTTGGCCAACAGGACCGACGGAAGCTGCGGAGAATGTTCTGTGCTGAGGCCAGCGATGCTCGTCGCCATCATGACATACACCATATGCGACAAAGCCGATCTCGCTTCGGCAGCGAGCCCCGACGGCACATCCAGCACATGAGGACTGGGGGGTCCACCGCCACCGAATGAGATGGCAAGGTTGTCGGCGTTGAGTCTCAGGGCGTGCTGATTCTGCATAACGACGTTGCTCGCCTTCCCAAGGAACTCCTGCGACTTGTTGTATTCCGCGTTCTTTGCGTGGTACACCCCCAGCAGTTGGTACACCTGGACGTAGGTCATAGGGTCGGGTGCACGCACGGATCCCGCTAGGATGTCCAAGATGTGCAGCTTGTATCTCTTTTCGATCGCTGTCTGCCGTGTGATGCGCCCGTCGCTCGAAGAGACGGGGTCGGTGGCGACCATGTAACCCATCAACGCACACAGCACGATGAAGACTGGGTGCACGACGGCCCCAGAGGTGTCGCCATCGGCGATGGCTGCTCGCTTGTCGGCGCTGATGTTGAAGCCGTAATGCCAGCAATGTTGCAGGAAAAGACAGCGCCTTATTCCCTGTATCAGCAAGCAGAGCAAGTCACTGACCAGCGTGTTCGGGCACTCACAACGCAAATGAGTCGAGCTGACCGCCTTGGTCTGGGAGCGTTTCCGAAGGGGAGGCAAGTGGAGAGGAGGTCTCTTCTTCCGGTGGGGGACTATCAGCAGAGGATATATTTGGGATCGAGACGATGTTTGAGGGCCCGGCAGCGGATTGCGACTCGGTGTTCATCTCAGTCGATATCGGGCTGGATTTCTCCTTTCTTGCAGCGCGTCTCTCCCACACTTTCCCACCGTAGTGACACGATTCCGACATTCCCAGCCGAACGCAGCCGGAGCACGGAGTCTCGCCGCTGCATTTCTAGCACCCACCTCAGTCTCGGTCGCGGGGCGCAACACCGTCGAGCCACACACCTTCTTCTTCTGCCTGCACGATGAGCCCGGACATCAGAGAGATACGGCACGGCGCTCACCGGCAGGAGATGCACGCAGCGCCTTTCGTAAGACCTCCCGGATTCTTCGAAGGCGCATACACGCAAGCGAGGTGGCCGCGCGATCGCGTACAAGGCCCGCACGGGTCCAAGCCGTCACACCGCTAGGCGACTGCCGCTGAGCCGGCTCGATTGGGTGACGCTTCGGGACGAAGTGGACGCACCACTTTGCGTGTGCGGCAGGCTTTGCATGTTCTTGGAGGTTCAGACATGTAGTGCTAGTAGTAAGCCAGCAGATCATCGGTCCGACTGGCCGCTGGCTCACAGCCACCGCGCAGCATTCGTCGATGGATAGATATTACAGGGAAACAGCAGTTATAAATGACATCGACGACCCTGCCAGTAACACAGGTTCTGCATCCGGAAGATGCACTAAATAATACCCTGCTTTTTCAAGTCTTCATACGTTTTCCGGTCATACACATTGCCCTCTTCGTCCTCGAGCTCTTCCATCGTGTCCTGTTGATGCATGTCCCGCCGATTGTCTTTGCTTAGTTTCTCGGCCACTGGATGAGTACCAAAATTAGCATCATTCAATGCATCGCCAGATGGAACAACAAGCACGCACGTGATCGCGCATCCTCGATCCGAGTGATCTCGTGGAAGTGCTTCGTGTTGGGGAGCCCGAGCGCTCGCATACCAAAAGCATGGCGAGACTCCTGGAAATGGCGCTCAAAGTTCTTGCGGCCCTTGTAGACGGCATCGGAGCAGATTTCGCAGCGGTATTCGACGCCGAGCCCGTGCAGCTTGTACAGCCAATAGGGAATGGGCTTGCCGTCCCAGCCCAGGGGAAGCTTAAGAGGGTTGTAAATTCGCTCCTCCTCCTCCTCCTCTTCGGCCCCTTCTTTGGTAGAAGACGTAGGCGGTGCCACGGGCTTGGCCTGCTCGATCAGCTCCTGCTCGCGCTCCCGAGCGGTGAGCGAGAAGCGCCGCTCGACGTTGGATTTGGTGTCGTTCAGCACGGGGATCAGAGGAACGAGCAGAGAAGTTGATAGCCATGTCCAAAGCGCCGTATTTCGCAGCCGCGCTTGAGTCGAAGACTGTGTTGTCGAGGATGACACGGCAGACGTTCCGTTCTCTGTCGGCCGAGGAGCAGGGGTCAACTCCCCAGCATCGATCTTGGCTTGCGTCTTCACGTGCTTTTTAGATGTGAGATGTGCATCGAACACCGTCTGCTTGGCATAGAGTTTCTGGCCTGTGAGAATACTCGTCAGAAGGGAAGGAATAGACTGTTGTGCCACTCACAGGCAGGACACCAGATCCCGGCAGTCTCTTGGCCATTGACAGTCGCTTTAGGGGCATTTTCCTCCCACCCACGAATCTCTCCAGCCGCCCACTTCTCCTCGAACAGCTTCGTTGCGTCCAGTTGCTGCGACTCCATATCCACCAGAGGCATTGTGCGCTTGGAGAAAGAGAGCAGATACGTGTGCAGATTTTTGATGTAGGTCTCGAAATCCTTGGAGAACCGGGTCTCTTTGGACAAGTCACGGTGGATAGGACCGTACTGGGCAAGAAGAAGCAAATCAAGGTACTGCAGGTAGCCCGGACGCTTGCCGACATTCTTCAAGTTTGTAAACGCAACGTGGTTGGCGTAGAGATCGACGTATTTGCCGTAGGATTCTTCTCCTGAGAACAAGAGAGATATGGCTATGAAAGCACTCGTCAGGCTTGTCCGTGTTTGAAGCAGTCAAGCAGGACGCACGGTCTTCCTCCTCGTATTCTTCATCAGCACCATCCTGATTTGGTTCTTCGAGAAGCGTAGCCAGCTCGAGATCGAACCCGCCTGGCACTGAGTCAGGGTACTTGGCGTGGTGCTCTTGTATTTTAACCAACCGGGCATAGAACTCGGTGAAGTCGTCCTGTTGGTTAGGTGCCGTGAGGCGGTCTATCTCTGCCCGTCTGCGCTCCTCGTCCTCATAGAGAGCGTCAAGTGCCACCGCGCGCCCCGTGATGCGGTCCAAGATTTGTGCTGCCCGTGTCTCTTGTTGGATGCGTTGCTCGTGTGCGGGAGTATTCCGAGATAGCAGACTAGACAGAGCGCGCTCGAAACGCTCAATCTCCTCATGAGTCTGCCGTTGGAGCTCAATGACACTATCCATGGTGAGTGCACTCGAGATGAAGAGAAGAGGAACGCGAAGAACGGTGGGAGATCAACAATCACAAACAGCTTGCTTTCGGCCACCGTGACCACGCTACTTAGAATGTCCCTGGACGACGATGATTTTACGTTCGGTTCTTCTGTGTGGGGCTCCTCTGAGCCGGTTACTCTCGCCCCTCCTGCTCAATCCACATTCTTCCCGCCGCCATCTGACGATTTCGACGATTTCGGATCCCCAACTGAAACTGCTGATACCAATGCTGCTGTTGAGGACGATGATTTTGGAGATTTCGGAGACTTTGATGATGCGGGAGGTGGTGGAACCGAGTTTGGCGATGACGCCTCCGGGGGCTTTGGAGGCACAGCGGAGGCCGGACCTTCGTTTGCCGCAAGCTGGACACCCTTGAGGCTAGAATCGTCGCCAAATAGAGATCGGTTACGCGGAGATATCGACGAGATACTGGCTCCTGTCTGGGCCAATGTTGATTTCAGTCAGGTCATCACTAGCGACGGCATTCGGGAGGTGGAAGGAATCTCACAAATCTTGATCAATCCTGAAAGGTAAGGAACTCTAGAGCAGGTACGCCAAGCAATCATGCTGACTACCGATCTCGCAGTCGAGACTTGTATAACATACTACTCAAGTCACCACCTCCGACCAAGCCCCCGAACTGGACGCGTTCTCGGATTCGCCGACAGCACTTGATCGCACTGGGCATCCCCGTTAATCTGGACGAGGTCCTACCGCCACAAGCCAATGGACACACTATGCCCCTGCTGCAGGTGACTACGCGGCCGATGTCGGCGCCCCCGGGTCCTCGTAACGGGTCGGTTGCAGGCACCCCGGTGCCTCGATCGGGCACTCCACAGCCGGGTGGGCGCACGGAACAGTTCGGGCCCAGGCCAGACATCGATAACGCGAAAATCGCCCAGTTGCTGTCGCTCGATGCAGGTACGCCTGAAGTTTCTGTCCAGTTGAGGGCTCGTAGTGATTTAGATTTGGATTAAATAGACACGCTCGCGATTCAGCCTCTGTCGACGCTTGAAGGCTACTTGGCAGCGCTTCGGGCCCAAACTGCAAACACGTCCGCGCTGCTCTCCCATTTGCTGCAAACTCGGGAAGCGCTGCAGCAGGATTCGGAGACGTACAACGGGCTCATTGCTGAGCTGGTCGGCGAGGCACAGAAGATCAAGACAACTAAAGGTCGGACACCCAGCAGGAAGGGGACAGCGCCATAACCCGATGGCAACATCCGTTGCTTCCATGTGTCTGTTTTTCATCCCGACTCGATATCTCCAGGGATGCATGCGCTCATGGTTCAAGATTCGAAGCAACCCGGCAACGGGTCGTGTGGTCGGAGTTTGGATTAGGCCTGGAGGAAACCATCTATTTTAATAGCGACGTTCTCTGGCCATGCAGCAGAAGACATAGCATAGGGCGATTTAGTCTGTGATGGGCAGTGCATGACATGTTGCTTGACAAAGAGTTTGACCTCCATGCTCCAGGGGATCTTCCGTTGCCACGATTTGAGCATCCCGAACGCAGCAGAGCCGTGCGGCTACAGACCAAACCTCACGGTTTGACTGTTTAATGAACCCGCATGTCGAGACGGTCCTCCATATCGGGTCAATTGCGTCATCAAGAAACCCCACAGTGGGATTTTCACCTGAGGCCGTCAGCAGGCAAAGCAGCGGGTGCTGATCAGTCTGAATTGAGGCAGTACTTGATCTGCTCCGAGGAAAGCTAAGCGGGCAGGGACTCGGAGGAGAAGATGTGCAGAATCCTGACTTTCGGGGGCGAATCGCTAGTCCCGACTGTCCGACACAGATCACAGAGAATCGAAGCAGAGAGTGTTTTTGTTTGAGAAGCCGACGGTCTTGTCCTGGATGTCAGCCATATGTCCTTGTCTGATTAACCGCGGTCTCCCCTTGGATGATCCTGTAATTAATATCTAACAGGCAGGTCAGGAAAGATGTAGTGGATCATTCTCTCGTTCGCGTCAAGTCTGCGAGGTGACAGCCGTCAGCAAAGCGAGCCAGTTCCGCCGCGGTATAAAATCAGTGAGTATATGTGATGCTGCGAGCAGCCCAAGGCACCTCGAAAACCCATGTGTTACTGGCGGCAGTGAGTCCTACCAGCTCCAGTGCACAATCACAGTCTCGCTGACCCCAAGACCAGAGTGCGAAACCACTACACGCAGTGAGGGCCCAACAAACGTGGGATGAGATGACTCATATATTCACCAGATGTGGGCATGCCATATCCCTCGTTTGTCGCCCTCCTACTCTGACCAAGACCTGATCGATTGAGTTCGCATCGTCTGTAGGTCGACGAGGAGGTGAGTGAAAATTGCTCGACCAAACTATGCCTTACCACGGCATTGGCAGATAAAATGCGATCTCGTCCGCTGTAAATTCAGCCCCGCACATCCTAAAGGTTGCACCGGCCAAGCGTGCATGAGGACGTGTTGGCAATAGTAAGTCCCGAGAATCCGCTTTGACGAAAGATCTCATAAGACGTTCAGTCACCAATCTCCACAGCAATATTGTGAGTGCTATCGCCGAGCAAATCGCGGATCTCACAGGATGCCTAGCCCCGCACCTAAAGAAGCGCTGCGAGTCCTGCAAGTGATACCCTACCTTCTTGTTTCTGCTCTCTTTTCTCTGCTATTCAGAAGGGGAGGGGCATCAATATATACATTCGTGATAATACACACCCTGGCAGGACGGAAGGGATAACAGTACAGGATACAGCAAGCGAGGATTAATCAGCGTCTCCGATATTGTGCTTTTGTTTCAGTGCAGCGAGTTCTTCTTCTCGTCGAGCCAAATCCGCCTTCGCCGCCGCCGCGTCTTGCTTCGCAGGCATGTGATACAGAACGACGATGTAGCGCTCTTGCAGATGGAACCCATTCAGATGATCGAGGGCGTTCTTCGCCTGAAAATGTAGCACATCAGAAATCGATACCGGGGCCGCGTCCGAGACTCAGCGGGTGCAACGTACATCCAACACATCATCGAACACCACGAACGCCGTTCCCTTGGTTTTCTGCTCATTCCCGATGCGGATTTGGCGGATGGTGCCGTACCTGCCGAAGAGGTCGTACAGGTCTTCGCCGGTGATTTGATAGTTCAGGTTCTTGACGAAGAGAATGCGGTTGGCACCAGGTGGAAGCTTGTAAAAGTTGACCTTTCTGACACATGCCTGGAGCGGTAGAATATACGTACGGCAGGTCTAGCAGCCATTTATCGAGATGTAGGAGCAGTGATGGTCTAATGCGGAATATACGGCGCGACGAGAATCAGGGAAATGACCGAGCTGGAGGTGTAGAGCCTGAACAGTCAAAGCCTGTGGTGGCTATGCCGTTGTATGTGTCCACATCAAACTTCGCAGTCCAAACAACTCTTATCACTCGAAAAAGGAAACTTTTTCGTTTCTCCTGCAGGAGCCAATAAGAGAGCAGCAAAACGCAATCTCAAAGATAAATGAATAAAGCTCCAGACGATATCAATGGCCGTGAAGATACGCGAGCGAAACTTCCACTCCATATTACAACCCTTGACATCGTGTAGATGGAGGAAGTGATAGAAGCCTACGGAGCATCTTGAAACAGTGCTTTCGGCGTATGGGCTCACCCGGAAAATGTGATCGGAATTAAGTATACAGCAGCATGTTCAGGAAACACGCTGTGCGGCAAGTTATTCAGCCGTGGAAGAGGCGAGCCACTGACAAATGACTCCTCGGGGAGACACACTGAAACTTCGATTTGCACTGTCGCATGGATTGCATGATACTGACGGAGAAATGCGGCACGCGGAAGAATCTTCGAACATGAGCTTTCGAAGCGGGATAAACAGAACAATCGGACAAGAGTGCCGAATACTGGGTGTGACCCCAAATCAAATAGAGATAGGGGGTGCGAGCCACACAACACGACCAGAGCGCACGCGGGGGAGAAAGCGGTCGGAATGGAACGCAGCTTGTTCCTCTAACACAAAGGTCCCATCTATCTGCTGCGCGTCAACTTGTCCAGCTGGCTACAATCCGTGCCTCCTCTAACGCAGATAACAGTCGCTGCGTGCTTGTTTTCTCCATCGGGGATGGTGCATTTGATGTCCTCCGCGTTGGGGCAGGGGCAGTCTACAGGGCTCGGCACGCAGTCCAACGTTGCGGGACAGAGGTATCTGGGACATGAGACTAGGACGGGCAGGTGTATGAGCTCTTGGCAACCCGACCCGAAGTCAAGTAAGGGACGCACCGCTCTCAAGATGTGCTGCCCACTGCGACGCTCCAGACGGCTGCTGCTGCTGGCGATGCTGCTGCTGGAACATTCCGTCGAAGAATTGGAATTGAGCGGCGACCATTTGTATGCCGGTGAGTAAGAGTAGATAGGCTACGGCGCGAAACATATCGACTGCTGGGGGGAAAGCGTCTTGGAAGGGTAGAGTATTGGAATTTGATGGTGAGTCGCGCAGAGACCTGCAGAGACGTGTCAAATTGGTCACGTGTCTGAACGCTCCTGCGTTCGGATGTTCAGGCTGCTTGTCCCGAGCTTCACGATGGCGGAGACTGGCCAGGCACCGCGGGTGCACGATATCCATCTTCTGACTGCGCTACCGACACATTTTGGCATCCTCGGCATCACAATTAAAGACAACTCGACGCAAGCGAGCCTGACCTGGTCCCAGATGCTCCGTTGAAGCCGCATTCTTCTTCCTTCGTGCCAACGATGCATGCAGCGGAGCGAATATTGGATGCTGACGTCCGTAAACGGTACCGGTTCATCCCGACTGGGCGACCAATGAGACCCGGGTGAAGCGAGTGAAGGGCATGCACATTGCTGGTGCTTGATGGGCGCTGTCACCGTGTACCTTGCACTGCTGTCATGGCCCTGGATCTTCGGTGGGCACCGCACGGCTATCCGATTTAAAGGGATTCCCTGGTGGTGTGGTCTGACCCAACCAACGCCTCAAACGCCCTCCAGCCATGAGTGGATTCAAAGTCGAAAATCGCACCAGCGAGAGCGTCCAATGCTCTATCACGAACACCACCGGCGGCAACGCGGAGTGGTTCAACGTCGCTCCAGGGTGCAATGATACGTGGAAAAGGGCAGGGTGGGAGGATGTCAAGTTCCGTGACCCGGCGGATACGAAGTTCAAGTCTCTTCGAGCCAACCGCGGGGAGCCCGCGATCATCTACTTCGACGGGTTTGACAAACCTTTAACTATCGTGAACACCTACCAGCCTGCTGGCTTCAGAGTCAACAACAAGTCGCCGCAGACGGTGATGGTCTCCGTCACCTCCACTACAGGGGGAGACAACGCGCTGTTCAAGCTGGTTCCCGGGCAGTCGGACGTCTGGAGAAGGAATGGATCCGAGACAATTCGTGTCCAGACTGAAGACGGAAGCAAGCATGCAGAAGGCGTCTTCGACAACAAGGGCAAGATGGCGGACGTCAACTTTGTCGACTTCAGTTACAGCCTGGTCTTTCGGACGGGTAACGCGAACTACATTGCTGACGAACACTACGCCGAAGCCGCGCGCATAGCTGGTTCTTACTACGACAAGACTCAGGCCTTGGATTCCCATTTGACTCTGGCCATTCCCAAAGTCGATGCGCTGGAACGCGCGGTTCACGGCACGTCTCTCGTCGGCTGATTACTCAAAGATGCTGAATCACTTTATTCTCACCAGGCCGGAACGAGAGCATCGGAGACTTCAGCCAGATCGACAGACTGGCGCTCGTGATCAATTGCGTGAACTTTGGTGAGCCCGGGCCTGCTGTAGTCGTGGGAGCCAACTCCGAATGGATCAAAGTCGCTGCTTATTGCCGTGTGTCTGACAATATGGCCCTGCTCGGATTCCCCGCGAGAGTGATGAACCAGATATCACCTGGCAATTCAACTCCAGTCGTCGGCTCACGGCTCCTGGCTCTATCCACGTTCGTCAATGATGCCAATGCTCCTGGCGATGTCATCCCCGGTCCCCGATGTTCGAGTACGACGTTCTCCTCGGTCACACGCAAACCTCGCTGATAATGCTCCCAGCCCGAGATTATCATATCTTGCCTCTGATCGCTCAATTCGTGACCGAAGATACCTGCTCCTCGAAATGGCATGATTTGATGAACCAGATTGACGAGACCTCGTGGTCCAGGGTCGACGAATGTTGGTCAGAATGGAAGGCAAGAGACTTGGAAGTACCCTTTGCACGACGGTTGACCAGTCCCCAGACTAGACACGGCGAAAACACATTTAGACTGGGAGCACCGTCTCGATACAGAGAAAGGGCTGCGGGACACGGCAGTATGTGATATCAGGGTCCTTCTCGATTGTCTTCGACGGCTGTGCGTCGTGTTATGGCTCCATTCAATAATTCGACATCTCCACGGCAAAAGCCGCGCCCAATTTCATGAAACTTGAGTAGATAAGAAACCGTGAATGGTGCAGGGCAAGTGAGACTTACTGCAGCATATGATCGAAGGAAAACTCCGAAGAGAAGTCCATGCGGTCATCAGTGCTATGAACATCTGCTCCGCTGAGGTCAGTCAACTGGGTGACGCAGTCGAGAGGAACGCACGGCTGTTGGCATATTTGAATTGTGCTTCGAGTGGATGACAGGCCTGGTACCCAGCCTTGTGCCAGATGAGGTGATCGCTCGTGGGTCCTGCACCGGTAGGGCCGACGGGATATTGCGTTTCGACAATGGGCAAGTCCACTGGAATCAATATGCGTCAATAAAAAGGCAGTCAAGAGCTGAGACCGTCCGTACAGTATTCCTTGGCAAGACTGAACAGGTGCTTGGTCAGCACAGAATCAACTTGGTTAGTGTTGGTAACAATGGCCAATTCTTCGCGGGTCCCAGCTTTGTGGAAAGCTGTCATGTCGAACTGCAACATGCCACGAACAACCTTGTGAGCCTTCTCATAATCGTTGACGATGGCGGACGAGCCGAGCAATCCGCCCTGCCAGAACCAGTTCAGATGCCTCGGCATTTAGACTGATGGATCGCCGCACCTCTTCTCCAGCGTAGAAATGGAACTCCAGCGGCGAAACCGGAACATAACCCGCAGCAAGCAGACCACGGTACGTCTCAAGGAGGGTCACAGTGCCGGAACCATCATCTCCCGCGCCAGGGGCTCGTCCGTACGGATCCGTGCGGTTGATACTGTCGAGGTGCGCGCCCATGACGGTGATGGGGTCCGAGGGAGCAGAGCTCGAGGGCGCAAATCGAACGATCTGGACGCCATTTATTTTCCAGCGCAAGCCTATGCCGCACTCCACTCACAATAGAATGCTGTTTGAACGCATGGTCGACCAGGTTGACATTGATCATCGATGCTTGCTCTTCCGATGCCAGCTCATCCGTGTATGCCAGAATTTTGCTGTAGAGCCATTCCGAGCTCTCCTTACCAGTGTCGGAATTGTAGTACCGCGTGAAGTAGGACGTCAAATGCTCGAGATTCGCCCGCGGCTCATCCGTGGTCAGATGGGGGAACACACCGCGGACGATGGACGAGCTGGAGTCGGGGGGCGGGTAGGTGAAGCGAGGTTTTTTGTAAAGACTGCCAAGGTGAGGCGCGTCCGTTCTACGTTTTTAAACTGAGGATACCGCAACCGTTGGGTGAGAACTATTAGGCTCACATGTCAACGAAGTCAATGCCCTGAGCCTTGGCCTCAAACTTTTGCTTGTCCGTCATCCATTGCGGCTTAGAGCCCGGAGACAATTGGACAAGACGCAACTCGTCCGAGAACGCTGGAAACGGGCATGGCATCGTGTCAGCTAGGTGTTCTGTGAGGACACCCTCGTCACATACCGAGCGGGGCTTCCTTCTGCAGGAGGTCGCTGCTCAGACCATTCTCTACAGGAAGTTGCCCGGACAAGCCACCGATTGTCGCGAGCCCCACGATTTGACTCAGAATCGCCCAGACCGATTGCAGCATGTTGAATGAGGGAAAGAAAGTACTCGTGACCCACGTATCAAGTTTGTGCGCTATTTATTTCAAATTCGAACTGTCCAAGGGCCAAGGCTCGGCGCTGCTACGCCGCTGGTCCGCTGGCCCGCTGCGCACGTTATCGGTATCGCGGTAATTGATGCACGCATGGCGGGATGCTCCTGTCTTGCCACCTACGTCGTACCTTGCTTGCAGTCTGGGACAGTGCACGGCTGGAATCGGGCTATATTTCGGACTTTGGTGTACGAGACCGGGTGTCCAGTCAAAGTGTAGTAAGTAGGGCCAGGGTCAAAGCCGGAAAGCCGGACCGGATTGAGTCTTCGCGATCGTATGATGCCATACACCCGCAAACTGCACGGAAACCCTGAGTCCCTGAACTTGATCATGGCTACTACAACGGTTCTTCAGCCCACTCCATCAATAATCGCCGAGTCTTCCGGAGCCCAGAAGTACCGCGGGGCTGTCGTTGAGGTCTGTCTTTCTGTGCGCGATCATATTCGTTTGCTAGGTTTCTCAGATCGACGGCAGGATCTGCAACTTCCACCTGCTTTCACGGTGCAATCCAGCGAGACGATATCGCGGGCCATTGCACAAGCTTATGAACGAGACTTCTCGCATATTCCTGTGCTCGACCGGCTAAGGAAACCCCTCGGTTACATTGAAGTCGCGACTCTTAAGTCCAAGTGGGAAGCGGGGCAGGCTGATGCTGTGGGTCTCGTACTACCATCGTACAATCACCCCATCTCTGATGATTTCTAATGCTGTTCAGAGTGACACAGTACTCAATTATATGACAAAATTCAAGCGAACCGCTGCTCAACCGTACACCGTGATCACACCCTACACACCATTAAGCGAGCTGGAAGAGTTCTTGGGGCGGAACATCTTCGCCATCGGTGCGTCCATGTCCTCGTGCATGATTTCCGCATGACGCGTCAACGTCTGTTTGGCAGTCACGGATCCTGGTCGCAAGTTTGTTGTGGCCCTGGCCACCTTGCACGACCTGGAGACTTTCGTATCTCGGCGCGGATTTTGACTGACTCTTCGGTTCGTGTATGACTGCATGTAACGCCTCATATCAATCGAACGTTGCTCGTCAAATGCCTCTTGCCCTTGGCTCTCGATCTCATTGGCGGCCTCTTTCGTTCTTTCCTGCGCCAGGCGCCATGGTCTCTTGCACCCTTTCCTCTGAGTCGCGCAGCAGCAATCGTTTCGTAGAACTGAAGCCAGTCGATGACCACGAGTGAACTCTTACTGGTCGTGATCCGCGAGAAAACGCTATGCACACGAAGAAGCACTTCCAAGAAGCGTTCCGGATCTCAGACCGTGCGTCGATGGGTACTCGAGTTGCTCACCGCCGGAATCCTTCTTTCTCCGACGTAGCAGATCGAGAAGCATATACTGGCGGAAAGTGCAGCCTCCCAAAACATATGCAGATATGTGCACTTGCGTTGCCGTGCACTCACGTCAACTGCGGTCTGGCTGCGTCAGTGACTCTGGACTGGTCTGAGTGGGCCAGATATCGTCGCTTCCTGAAAGAGGCGTCGAACAGCAGACTCTTCTACTCCGACCGTGTGAACGACAAGTGGTACCACTTTCACCCACTTTGATGCTCAATTTCTGAGCCTTCGTATCGGTAGGTTGGGCTCGAGACTCCCCACACATTCCGAGCTGTCCAAGGGAATGCCCCGACACACCATGAGAGACTGTCTGAGGACCCTTGAAAGCGACACGGGTCCGAGAGAAGACATGTTCCATCTCAGGGTTCTTTCGTAAGTTTTTTGAGAAAGATCTCGTACTCAAATGCACAAACGGCTCGCTGCTGCAGACTTCCCATGACCTGGACCAGGCCAGGCCGCATCGAATACGATTGGGGACGGTAAACTACCTGTGCTTTGTACTTATAAGTAAAAAGATGTTCCTACATACAAATCAAGAGGGGGGGGCGTAAAAATAGATCAAGCAGGAGGAGAAGAGGAAAAGTGTCGTAAAAAGTCGTCGCAGTGTTAAGTTATATACAAACAATTAGATAAAGGGCCGGGGGTTAGAGATGCAGAAGATGCAGGGGTGTAGCGATGTCAGGGACTGGAAAGATGGTGCACTGTGCAGGAGAGCGAGTTGCAGCGCCGACCGGTTCGAAGCCGGCCACCATTTCGGCGGGTGGGATTTACGCCAAAATCATCTCGTCGTCGTCGTCGTCGGTCTGGTTCCCATCCGCCTCCTCCTCCATCATGCGCCGCAGGGCCTTGCGCTCGTCGTCCGGCAGCACGGGTGTATGCGACGACCGCGTCACTCGTCGGGGCGTTGGGGTCAGCGACGCGCGCAACTTGGCCGGACGCGGTGTCTTGGTGCTGAGGTCGCCACCGAGCACCAGCGAGTCCGTTGAAGTAGACTTGCGTCCCGCCTTGGCAGCGCGCCGGGGTGCCGCATTCTCTTTGGCCTCATCCTTCTGAGGTGACGGGGGACACATGGGCGCGACGGGTCCAACGAGCACGTACGCGTCCTGGCACACCACAAAGCCGGGGTAGTGAACCGACTGAGGATCGACCGCCGGTGGAACCTCGCGTGGGATCTTGCGCAGTTCACCGGGAATGAAGTCGGCCGCGGATGAGGAAGATGAGGAGGACACGGGGAAAGATGAGTCGATGCCGGGGACCAGCGCTGGTGCTGCAGAAGACAACGTGCGAGCCGCGTCCAACGCGCTCGAGCGACGCGTCGTGCGTGGCGAAGACAGGAAAAGTGACGACGAGGCACCCCCGTGTGGCGATCCCAGACCGAGATCGAGTTTCTTGACCGGACTACCGACGGGAAGAGCGCGGAGCCGCGCGGGGGTCTTTACTGACGAACCAGAGAAGATCCCTTCGTCCACTAGAATGCGGCGTTTAGTCGGGCTGAACAGGCTGGGAATGGCCGGCGAGAGCGCGCGTTTCATGCCGCCTTTCGACGCGGAAGGGAGGTTGGGATCGGGTGGAAGGAATCGCTCGAGAGGCAGGTCCTTCAGGGGACCGGGATGACGAGACTTGCTAGCGGAGGATGAACGGGGCATTTGGGCGCGCGTCTGGGTGAGGATGGTGAGGGAGGAAGGGAAGAACAAAGGTGCGGGAACAATGGAACGGCTCGACGTGACTGTGGACAATTAGTGAGACGCGTTGTCAACACGTGGTGAAAATTTCTGTTTGTTCTGGTGTTCGCGACGTGATGTTGAATGCGTGACCCCGGATACTTGGTGCGGCCCCCGGACACAATGGCTACAGATAAGATAAGATAATGGTACAGAACTAGTTATGGTACTTTTTCAGATAAGTAGCATTCTATGCAGCGACAGCAACAGGCACAACAACATCAAACACACCAGTTCCAGACAGACTCGGTCTGCCCAGGACGATGTTTCCACTCGGTGTCGAGAGATCGTCGAAGTCACCGTAGAGAGTGGCATCACTCAAGAACGCGGCGGTTGTCTCGTACGACGCTTTGAGAAGGGGCGACGGATTGGTTGAGATACCCTGTCGATTGAAGGGTTTATAGCCACCGTCAAAGGTCATATAATCCGCAATGAGCTGCAGGTGGCGGTTGTCGACTTGAATGTTATACACGCCGAAGACAGACGACATCTCGTGCAGGATGGCCGCACGGGCCATTTCTACCCCGTAAGTCTTCAGAATGGCGTAGATGTCGTTCGAATACATGTCGTTTTCCTCGATAATGCTTTGGTCGGCTCCGGAATTGAACAACCACAACCCTTGGAAGTTGGAGCCGTTGGTCGTGAGCTGTGACGGTCATGCATCAGCAGCTACGGGACATGGAGAATTTGTACCTTGATTTTAGTGGGGCCTTTGCCCTTGCCATCCTCCTTGACCTGGAAACAGTCGCTGATGCCTGGAATCTGTCGGATGACGGTCGCTCTGCACGTTCGTTCTAGAATCCCGACTAGAAGCAGCTTGGGCATGTCCGGGTTGAACTGTTATCGTATTAGCAATCACATCCGGCTCAAACAGGACTGGGACTGACTTCGAGCTGGAATGTGACCTTCGCCTCGCTGAAGTCAAACGAAGTCGCGTGTGTCATATTCCGGAGGAACACGTCACCAACAACTGCGACTTTTTTCGTCAGCGGGGTGTGTTTCTTGGTCTTGGGTACAGGCGGCATCGATGTATCGGAAGCATACGCAGCTTCAATGTCGTCGTCGTTCATGGCACCCTGCTCTTCATCGTCTTCGTCTTCATCTTCCTCGTATGTGGCTAACTGCTTCTTCTGTCTCGCGCGTTTCTCGTCGTCAGCGTCGCCATCCCCGTCCTCGTCGTCATCCTCGTCGTCATCGGCCGGCCTCTTTTTGCGCGACGCGACTTCGTCTCCGTCTTCATCGCCGTCCTCATCGCCACCACCTTCCTTATCCTTGCTCTTCTTTCCCTGACCGAGTTCTCTGATCTGCGCCTTCAGATCCGCGTCGAGCTTCTTCATCTCGTTCTGCATCTCCTTCTTCAGGGTGAGTGGAAATTTGGTCGTGAAACAGCCCAGAATGTCCGTCGGGTCGATGTCGTATTCTTCCTGATATTCGGACTTGGGGAAGAGCGTGAGATCAACCGTGAACTGGGTCCTCCGCGCCTCGCCCTGCACTGTCAATCGCTCGCGTACAGTCACGTTCTCGACGACCTGCGACAGCGTGACACGGCTTGCCCGTTTGCAGAACACGTCAATCTCTTCTTGTGTGGCAGACGAGCTGACAGTCATCGACATGGAGGGGGTCTTGGGCTTTTGCGACGCTGTCATGACAATTTCACGTAACCGGGGAATTCCGAGTGTGACATTGGCAGCTCCGTGCCCAGCAAAGTGGAAGGTGTTCAGCGTCATCTGTGTTGAGGGCTCACCAACACTAAAGCAGAGCTTAGAGGGGATGTAGAACTTTTGCGAAAAATACTCACCCTTGAGAAGCCAGCAGCCCGACCGCCTCGCCCGGTTCGACCAGACTACGCATGTATTTGATGTTCATGAGCGTCTTGAAGTTTTTGGGATTAACCAGCGAGCGGCTGCTCTGGTACGGCAGCTCCTTGCCCTTTTCAGACAGCAGCTCATCCGGATTCTTCTTCACGTAATCGTCAACTGCAGCGGCAAACGACTCGCTTGTGCTACCCAGGAAGCGACTGGGATTGAATTGCGACAGAACCGGATCGTATGTTCCTTTCTTCTTGAGCACCTTTTTCATGAGTTTGGACGCCTTTTCCGAGTCGACGGCACCGTCGTCCATCAGTCGCTTGGGGTTCAGGATGTTGACAAAAGACAGCTCATTCTGCGCGATGAACTGGAACTCTCGGAGATGTTTCTGCTTGGTGACGTCCAGCGCATCGCCGCCATACTGGAACTGATAGATCGACGAGTCGCTTCCCCGGACCGTGTTGTCGTAGTGGATGCGGATACCCTCCAGATGCTTAATCAGACAGCGTTGGAGATAGCCTGAACGCGATGTCTTGACGGCGGTGTCGATCAGCCCCTCTCGACCAGCCATGCAGTGGAAGTAGAACTCCTGCGGTTTGATTCCCGTCAAGAAACGACTGGCAACATAGCCACCAGCGATGGCCTTCGTCTCAAACGGTCGGAACGACGGCAGCGTCTTGCCGCTGATCATGACCGGGACACGCCGGCCCTCAAGCTCCTGCTGACCCAACGCACATGAGATCTGGCGGGCGTTGACAGCACTGCCCTTGGCTCCAGAAAGCGTCATCGTCTGCATGTTGTTGTGCGGGAACTTGCGCTGCAGACCGGTGGGCATACACGCGTCGCTGATGGCCGTAGTAAGTTTGCCCATCTTCGTCTTGACCGTCATATCGAGGCCGGCCATTTTGTTGTCATCCCGCAGCACGTCCTGCAGCAGAGAAGTGAGAGCGGGCTTGATCTCGTGTTTGGGGGTGTCTTTGAGGGATGGGAAATTCTCGATTGCCGCCTCCGTTCCCCAGTTGCTGCTCTTCTTGATCAAATCCGTCCTCCAGCGATTGCCCTCCGGGGTGAGAGTGAGATCGTCCATACGACATGTGAATGCGCGATGTTGGAGGAATTTGGTGAACAGTCGACTGAGGATTCCTAATAGCTTGCCCGCCACTTCCGACCCATACAACTCGTACACCGAATGCACCATGCCGTAGTCTGATGCTCCAAAGGCTGCTTTGTCGAGAACACCACATAGCAGTTCGCCGTCCATGAAGATGACCTTATCCTCTTTCGAATCGTTACCCCAGAGATGTCCCGGCACTTTGGTCTTCGCATTCAGATTCAATCCGTCCATCCTCTCTGGTGTGATGTTCCTCAGCACAGTGGAAATCTACACACATCAGCTTCGAGTCAGAACGGCCATCGCAAGTCCCTCACGATCTGCTTGCCAGTCCAAAGAGGGCGGGGCTTCCATATTGTCGGCGGAAGTGTCACCAGCCTCGGAGGTTCTCCGCCCTCGTATACGTCATCTTCAGGCCTCAAAGCGCCATACAGAAGCTGAAAGTACTCTGCCCGAGTGAAGAACGCGTCTTGAGTGGTCATCCATACACCAGCCACCACGTGATCCTGGATAAGACCGCGCAGTGGGTTTCCGGACGTAGGGACCAGGTATTGGTTGTCGGTGTTGGCGATAAACATCGACTCGGCGCGAGAGATTTGGTTCTCTGTGCATCGAGTTAGGAAGACGTCTCAGACGATGCTGGTCTACTGACGAGGGAAGTGAATGTTCATTTCTGAGGTATGACTTAGTATGATAGGAACTTGTAACATAATGCCGACTTACCGTCACCATCGAAGTCAGCTGCAGGAGCTCATGAGCTACAGTTCCGGGTCGCGAAGAGGACTCACCATTGTAGGAGTTACTAAGTAGCCATTAGTATCGGTGAGATAAGATTGAATGCTGCTCACCAGTTCGCGTAGTGCATTCGGATTGTCTTTTCGCCTCGCAGCACCCGTGCCTTATGAGCCATCATACTGGGCTTGTGGAGCGTCGGTTGTCGGTTGAGGATAAGCATGTCTCCATCTCGCAAATGACGATACACTTTCTTGTTGATAGCAGGTGTGCGTGTGTACAATCCCCGACGAGCCGTTCCCCCGTGCTCGTTCTCTTGGGGCGTGAGCAGCTGATTGGCTATGGCTGTGCGTTGCTCCACAGTCAATTTGTCCTGTAGGCAGCGTGAGATGACCATTCCGACGAGAACGTGGCCCAACGCACCAAAAGCACTTGATGCCATCCTCGTATTCCACCAAGGTTGCTCCAGGATAGCCCTTTGGTCCGGTAATCACCCGCTGCCTCATCTCATGGAAATTGGCTGGTGTTACAGGCTCCGGAAACGTAAGCTTCTGAGCAAACACGGGCGAACGCCGATCTCGTTTGGTTCAATGTTACATCTGGAGAATGACTGAACGAGCAGCATAGTTGACACGTTTGCCCTGTGGGTTGTTAGAATATGTAAGAGCATGCAGGCTGATCTCACGCACATCATATGCATTCGGAACAATCCCTCCTTCTTCTCCAATCCTTGCTTAACACCAGCGGGTGGCAGCTTGCCCTGCCTCATGGGAGTCGGATTCTTGCTACTGTCCATGAAACTGTTCACATCGACTTGGAGTTGCACCAGGTTTCCAGCAGACTAGACATTATCCTCTTGCGCAGGGTCTCATCGAATTCGGGTGTCTTCACCGATGCTTGTCGCAGCTGCAGATTCTGATCCCGCAGACGGTAGCACGTCCGGAGAATCTTCTCCAGCAGCTCGTTCTGCGGATGCTCGAACAGCTTGTCACCCATGTGCGCTGCGGGTCGGAAGCGAGTGGGCGCGACGGGGACCGCGTCCAGAAGAACATATCGGCTGACGCGAGCGAGAGACCTTCGGCGGAGACTGCGGCAAAGGGACCGTGCCTGCCGTAGAGCAGCGAGCACATCTCGGGTTCGTTTTCGAAGAGCCGCGCAGATGTGCACGGCATTCCTCCGGTGTAACGACCCTTTCATTCCGTCCGCGCGATGTCTTCACGCGACCGTTGGCTGCGCGGGGAAGAGCGTCCACAGCAGAGGTTTGCTTTTGTGGGCTTTCCATCAAGTCTTCTCCGTCATCCTCTTCGTCCTCTTCGTCCTCACTCAGATCCTCGGCATCCGACATAT